AGGTGACAGACAGATGGAAGTTGACATTCCTTTACCATTTGTTGCCAAATTCAACTAAGTGACCATGGCTAATGGTGTTTGTATTGACTGTATCTGTTGTGTAACCATTTAAGACAACAGTAAAAAAAAACAAAAAAAACAACTGAATGTTAACAAATGTCTGTATCTTTGATGCTTGTCTCTCTACTCTGTTTTTCAAATTAATAATTTTGTTTTTTATTTTATAGTAGACTCAGTTGTTTTAATCCTACTGTGCTCCCTTTGAGTCTTTTGTCTATTTAAACAAAAACAATATGTGGCCTTCAATAAAGACAGTTTGTCTGCATACAGTGCTGTGCATTACATAATATGTAATTTAACTTAAATTTCTGCAACCCTAACTCCTTGGCAGGCATAAGACTGTACTAAGTGATTGAAAGTACTATATGATTTTTTTTTTTTTTACACATAGTTAAATTGTGGTTCAGAATGATTACTCTTTGAAGATGGTATAATTGGCATTTTCCTGACATGACGCACTTTAATTTGCATCACAGTTGTTCCCCTGAAACTCAAAAATATAGTTACTCCTTAAAAGCTACACACTAAACACAGTCACAATATGGTATAACTTTAAAAAGCTCACTGTACACTTGTCATACACCCATTAGTCATTTGTATCCTCAGGTCTAAATTTAGCAGAGACACAAATAGCTTCTGTGACACACAAGCGCTCTTATCATAAAACAATGAGAATAAGAATAGTCAGTTTGACAGTAGTTAACAATAGTAAAAAGCTGACCCTAAAATGTACTCACCATTTGTAATACATAAATACATTTTTACAATGATTGCTAATGTTTAATCAAAAGCAGTGGTGGAATATTTATTCAGATCCTTTACTTAAGCAAAAGTACCACTACAACAGCATAAAAATAGTCCATTGCAAGTACTCCATTACAAGCGCTTTTAAAATCTTACTTGAGAATGGAAGTATTGACTAAATGTACTATATAACCCATGATACCGTAAAAATGGTCTCTGTGACATTTACATTATTATGTATAATATATTATTGGAATATAATGTTTGATGTATTCATGTGTAAGCAGTATTTTAATGCAGGATCTTAATGATGTGGTGCTGTTTTCAATTCCTTAACATTCTACTGGGTAGTTAATTTTATAACCAGGCTATTTTACAAGGTACAAGATGAAGTAGTTTCCTTTATGCTACTCACAAAAAGCAAACATTATATACAGAAAATATATGAGATAAAATATACAGTACATACTCCATGTCTCTTGCTAGACAGCAGGGTTGGGTGCTTTTAGTATCCTTATAAGCTCTAAGTAATAATAATCAGCAGTCTACTTACTATAACTGAATGTAATAGAGCAAAAAGTACAATATTTATAAAGTAAATTTCAGAAAATCATAAAATTTAAATGCTCAATGAAGTAGGCCTACTTCAAAACTGTGCTTACTGTGCATAAACGTACTAAGTTACTTTCCACCACTGGATAAGGACTATATTAAAGTTATGGGTAAATGTATCCTGCCAAAAACAGAAAAATATCACAAATGCAATGGATGATGTAATTCACAAAATATAGCAACAAAGTTCAAATAATTTTCAATAATTATATTATTTTTAATATGCAATGCTATCTGCAACACCACATTAACTATCTGTTTTTAGTGTGAGAAAATGAGGCAAAAGAATGGAAAAGTAGAGGTGGTGACACACACTGATTGCTTTATTGACTTTACCAAAACAGTACCACTTGTTCCCTTACATTCTGGATTGATTTTCCTCACAAAAATGTCCATTGTTCCCAATCTACCATTCAAACTTAGAAATTTTGTCATTACATTAATGTGGTCATAGTTTGATGAACTCTTAAAAAAACAAGTAGCCTACATTTGGCACATTTTCCGTCTCCAGGATTCCATAGATTTTTTTCTTCTAAAAATAAGAAGTAAAATAAAGACGAGGAGGAAAACTGCACTGTCTAATTGGTGAATAATAACTTAATATTTGAAATCAGAGGCACATGAGGGGGGGCCAGTGTGGGAAAATTAACCAGTCCAGCACAATGCATTCCTGTCCTGTAAGTCAGCAAAAAGCCCAGCAACAGAAGGCAGGGGGGAATGTGACTTTTACACCATGGTAACTCTGGTTGGATTTATAAAAGCTTCTCTTTTAAATTCTGATTTATCTTTACTATGGCTGCTTTTGAAACCACAGAAAAATTACATTTTAATGCAAGATTGAGCTTTCTAGTCTCCAGTTATCACTAAAGGAATAAATCCCATAGTAAATCCACCAGGTTTTCCATTGGATTCCCAGTGTAGCAACAGCCGTTCTCTGTAATTGATGGCCATAGTTGTCATTTGAACAGGTTCTCCCACCATTGTGTAAGAGGACAACACGTCTAGTGTTTCAGTTTAAAGGGTTACCCTTTTGTTTAAGTTTTGGTAATTATTATTAGACTGGTTTTATTAACATATATGTCCATCAAATATTTTAATTATCATAAAATGGCTTAATTCCAAATGAAAGTGTGCTACTGGGTCATAGAGCCAGTAGCAGAGAGCTCTGACAAAGCCTGCTCTTCTTTTCATGACACTTTCTAAGAAAATCTGTTCCACAAAAGCAAAGCAAAACCATCTCACATGCTCAGTCTTCTCTTGGAAATGTCACCCACATAACTGTAAGTAAAGCTGTAATTAGAAAATGTCAAACAGGTCTTCGAAGTCTTTGAGACAAGTGAGATGTACCAGCGTCCGAGATAGGTAGACCTAGATTTCAGAAACATGGTGAGATGGTAAATGATTTGTTTCAGGTGAGCTGTAAGGAAAAAAAACATTTCCTGTTCTTTGCTTGTTGTAAAAATGTACAGGCTACAATTTATGCGCACAACTTTTCCCTTCATTGTTATGTCCAAAAAGCACCCCTTTCATGAATGAAAAAAAATCAAAACCACACCTGCAAAGATACATTTTGGGGTAGAAGCATGCTTAGCAAACTTATAAAATATATTTCTGGTACCCATTTGTGAACTTATCCAACAAAACATCTCCCTGAAAACGACACTGGACAAGGTTAGACCTTTAAGACTGGCCAGTGTGTAGCCTCTTAGACCTGTGGTGGTATTTGGTCTGTTGCATTTAAAAACTCCTCAACTTAATACTGTGGAGTGAAAAACATACTTAATGGATGTGGTTCCAACCAACAAACCTGAGACAACTGATTGTTTTGAATGTAAACTTAATGCGTTTATTCAAAATGGCGTAAAACATTAGAAGATGGGCATCCTTGCATGGACTCTGGCTTTTTCATGAATTCACTTTCTGTGAATGACTGTAGTATTCAGATGATGTGCAAAGTCCCAAACTGAATACAGTTGTTTTACAATACAAAGTGGACATAAATAACAGTGCAATTTTTTACTGCTTTGCTTATTAGGCTACAAAGTATAACCTTGGCAGTAAGGCCATAGCCTATGCAAACACTTTGAAACACAAAAAAAGTGAGCAATTTAAATATTGGCTGAAAGCAGTCCTTTGGAAAAGCCATATCTACATTTAGAAGGATATCAATAAGGCGTCCATTGAAATGTAGCGGTTTGTCGTCTCCGCCTGCAAGTCTGGGTTTATGTGACCCACAAAGATTCTGCAACCAGTGCATTACACGCACAAAACCCGGTTTGATTATCGAGTGTGTTCAAAACAACTTGTTTGTAGTCATTCGTTTTGGTTTAACGAAGGTCGTCTGATCACAAGGGAGTATCCAAACTAGTCACTGTCCACAGCCTACATGGTCAGACACAGATCCCAGCGATGGAAACGTCTAGTCTGTGCGTCACTGTTTTCCAGACGGGGTCGATTCACATCAAAACACAGCATTTGAGACAACTTTTTGATGTAGTTTTTCGTTTTTGTAAGGCTGCCCGTGTTGCGGTTTCGAAAACCTCCCAGATCCCCTCCTTGGTTTTGGCAGAGCACTCCAAATAGTCATATGCGCCAATGCGCATGGCCATGGCCCGGCCATCCTCTGTTTTCACAGGCTCCAGCTTCAACCGGGACAGCTCGTTCTTTACGTTCTCGTCGTTGCGCAGATCTTTCTTGTTGGCCACTAATATAATTGGCACATTCGGACAGAAGTGTTTGACTTCAGGGATCCACTTTTCAGGGATGTTTTCCAACGAGTCCGGGCTGTCCACGGAGAAGCACATCAGAATGACATCAGTGTCCGGATAAGAGAGAGGGCGCAGCCGGTCGTAGTCCTCCTGCCCCGCTGTGTCCCACAAAGCTAGCTGGACTTGCTTGTTTTCCACTTCTATGTCCGCCACATAGGTCTCAAACACAGTCGGGACATACACCTCGGGAAACTCGTCTTTGCTGAAAACAATCAGTAGACATGTCTTCCCACATGCGCCGTCCCCCACCACGACTAGTTTCTTCCGTATGTCTGCCATTCCTGCCCCTTTCCCCCTAGCTCTCGCTTAAATGTAGTAGGCTAGCCAAAAACACAGTTGATGTCGTTGTACTCACTCTCACTGCAGCTCACATACTCTAAATGAGACTCAACAGACTTTTCCCGTAAGCCGACCCCGTCTCCAAACTCCAGAACCTTTACCAGAAACCAGTGCGATCTCTTTATAAAGCACGGGTGCTTTCCTAAATATAGCGATCCAATCGGAAATGGGAAGGTGAGATCACAGCTTGTAAAGGAAGAGGTGATTGGATCGCATCGGGTTTCCTTATGTAGGCCTAGAGGAGGAGGGTCATGGACCACGAGGATCCACCCGACCCAGGATCAGCCAAAATCAACCAAATGTAACTGCATGATGAAGCATAACTGGACTTTCTTTTTCTTTTTTTTTTATTCTCCTACAACGCCACTTATAATGTCATTAAAACATATCTCATACATAACACTGTTTTAGCCTTTGTTACTTTATTACTAAGTCAGCCAACCATGACATTTAATTAGCTAATAAACATTCATTCAAATAGGACAAAGGCTAACGTTACTGTATTAACGAGCAGCAGAGGAGAAGGAGATTAAACGTGATCATTTATAAGATGTTGGGCTGCAGGTTGCAAGCACATAAAATACACCTTAAAGCTGATATGTTACCTTCACATGGTGCACAAAAGGTAGCGTTGGGAAGGCACATTTACATTGTTACACGCATGTCTACGTAGTTCACGCTATTTACAGGGAGGGGGCACTAGCGTAGGCAAACTCTGAGCTCTGACTATCAAGCCCTGCTAAATCATCGCTCTCTCCAAGGAAACAAAACAATATAGAATTGGGTTGACGGCGTGCAACAAGCATAGACCCTCACTCGACACAACAGCGCGTGAGTATATCCTCTTTATTTGTTCATGTAGAAAGCAAAAGCTCTGTGAAGCGGTGTGATTTGAACGCGACTGTCGTGGCGTGAGTATTTCCCCTTTTGTTTAGCGGTTAAGGCCCCGCTGTTTGGAACTTGAAGGGGGGCCATGTTGTTTAGCCACTGAAAGGTTTGGTTGATGTTTTAGCTCACACAACACCAACCTGGCAATTAGCGTTGGCTAGGCTATCTCTTACGTTAGCTATATTTGTTTATTTGACTACTTCCATAAAACAAACGTGGCCAAGAAATCGACTCGTTTTCCGCCTTTCACGGTAGCCCACTTGCTTACTGTAAAACAATTGTAAATTCATGAATTTAACTTTGATGTGTTAGCGTCGCCAACCAATAATAAACAGAGCAGGCCCGCTGCGGTTAGCGTTAGCTAAGGGGGTTGCTAATGCTCACTCCAGGAAAGTAGTATTGGCTAACACTACTCGATTTCCGCTAAATGCCACCAAATAATTTGACGTGAAAAACATTGATAGGCAATACGGGTACGAACCGCTATCCATTAACATAATTATCGTAAATGTCCTGCCAAAGCCGCTAGGTTAGCTTGCTTATTAGCAGCGCACTTGCTGGCTATGTTAGCTATATTAGCTAGCTAGCTTCCTGAAAGACTTGCACTTCGGTTTTGACACAATGTTCAGTAATTTTGAATGTACCGTTGTGGCTAACTTGGTTACATATTGTTGAAAGCAAGCGGCACATTTCATGATTAAAAACGGTTGCGTTGTGTTATAGCCTTGAGTGTCGTTTAAACCATTAGTAACGTTACATTAATGTTAGCGTTGCGTTAGCTACGACCACCAGCTAACACAAGGCTAGCGACAACGTTACTTAACTAGCCTTCTCGGTACTTCAAGCCATCAACACTCTTATCAGTGACTTGTTTTGTTCTTACCTTGCCCATTTGTAAATCAGGAAACTGCTAAATTTAACTTCCCATTTGACTTTAATGCCCCGTTGTTGAGAAAGCCATGTGACTAAATTTGGATGTTCAGGGCAAAATTTAGTATCGTTTCAATCGTGGCTGTTCTAAAGAGGAGACCGTCATGTCCAGGCCAAGACAACTAAGTTGTACTAGATGTCCATGCAGTTTAATTTTGTGTGCATCCTTTTTATGAAGTCTAACGTTACTTCAGAAGTGTAGAAGAGTCAGCTATGAAGAACACATGTTGTAACGTTAAGAGAGCTTTCATTAGCCTAACGTCACCAGGATATGCTAACCAACCTGTCATGTTGTAGTATAGCTAACGTTATATTGACTTGTTATAAAAATAAATTGAAACAATGCAGTTAGTTTTGTTGGGCATTCGCTCTGGTAGACTACAAAGTAAATTATGATGTGCACGTGTTGTGGTGATCTCTAAAAAGATTGCATATCCATGTCAACCTAATACTAGTATCTCTAAACTTGATACAGGTATCTTGAATGACAACTATCGTTTATTGACAAAATCCTAATGTTATATGTTTAGGCTTTCCCGTGGAATGAGCGTTCCATGCAGCATCCTAGGTATGAATGACGTGGCCTGGCAGGAGACAAGAGGTGGGATGCTGCATGCAAATGGTGCTCCTGAGACTGGAGGTGTCAGAGTTCATGGTGGAGGGCCCCTAGCCACAGTGGGGGGAGCTGGACAGGCCCCTGGAGTTCCACATTTACAGGGCATGGACAGGGTAGTTAACCCCACCCCAGGTACCCCACAACCTCCGCTGAGTGGACGATCACAGGATGACGCCACAGTTGGATACTTCTTTCAGAGGCAGCCTGGAGAGCAACTTGGAGGTTGCACACCCAGCAAGCATCGCTGGCCAACTGGAGATGCCAATCATGTTGATCAGGTAATGCGTCGTCACTCACAGACCATTGTAATTTTATTTAATTTAGAGCAGTATTTTGTATCCGCTTAGGCTACAGGTGCCACGGAATATTCAACCATAATGTATTTTCTTTGTTTCTGAAATGTGGTGTTTGGTGGAGGATTTGGCAATATTACATAAGCTGCTTTTCGACCAAAAGTACCGAGGACTTTTAAGTCCCCAATTCTCTTTTCAAGGAACTAAAAGGTTCCTTCGGCCCACTGTTGTGTGCGTTTCACCTTGGTCTAAAAACCTGCGAAGATTAGGCAAATTAACCAGCTGATGTAGACTGTAGGTCTATACGCTGAACAAAGTGATGCACAACCATCATTATTTGTGACCACTATCCATGAGCAACATTTATAAATGACCATCAGATTTGATTGGAATACAATGACAAACTATAGGCTATGCTTGACTATTAAAGCAGCTTTTTTTGTGAGAGTATAATGAAGAGACACACGATAAAGTTTGTTAAACATTTAATAACAAAGCCATAAAGTTCTTAAAATAACTCCAGCACAGAGAAAGCAACACAAAATCGCGACAGTTTGGAAGGTTATTAAAACATTTCCAGCCGACATGAGCTGCAGATCTGCAGCAGCACATGTCTGTATCCCTGGGCGTCGGAGGAACGGGATGTTTAACAAGCTTTATTACCTGCTGTAATCAGCTGTTCCACATGAAGAGGAAGCGACCAACTTCGGCTCTGTGTAAAAACCTCCTGACTGATGAAAACCTAAAACAACAACTCTGGTCCCAGTATTTAGCTTAACTCCGTCAGCTGTTCGCTGTAAACACACCACTGCAGACTGACTGCTGTTTCTAAGCGATACATTTACTCATTTGGCAGATGCTTTTATCCAAAGCGACTTACATTTGAGGCACAACATATAAGCATCAACAGAGCATCAAATACAGCTCTAAAACTGGCAATACATACTAGTAAGCGCTCATAGTTCATATCCCATCAGTGGGGTAAATACCTAGGGAAGAAAGTAAGAGTTAACAAAAAAGTGCAGTCAATACAAGATAATCAGAAGGAGCTTTATTGCCAAGTAGTGTTTTACACATACGAGGAATTTGCTGTGGTGATAAGGTGCTACACGTAGACAAACATACAGTCAACATAAATAAATGTAGAAATATATAAATATGGAATGGAAGAACAAAGTTGCAGATGTATACATGTACATTATTCTGGGTCTGTGCCGTGCAGAAGTAACGCAAAGGAAGAGAATATTGTGTACATATAAATATATAAACTGACAACATAAAAATATACAACAACAAAGATCAACAACAAATATGTGCGACGTGCCAGGTCTGTGCCTGACACGAGATGAAACAGTATTTACATGTGCAGAGACATTTGTATCATTTGCAAGGGGGGAGTGTCAGTAGTTGTAAGGTGATAGAAGAGGAGGAGCACAGGAAGTGCATGTCAGAGGTTAGGAGTTCACGTATTTCACATGCTGAGTTAATCTGTGATTTGCACCATGTGTCAGCCCAGCCATTCGTCTGTTGCCATTTCCTATGGACGTCTCTTGTTAAAGTAGGAGCGCGCAACAAACATCAGTAGCTTTTGTTGGTAGAGTTTAATGCTGTGGGCCGATGGTGTCATTATTATCAGTGTCACTCACTCAGAAAATGTTATCCTCCTTTTATCCATTTTTTTGATTTATTTGTTTATCTCAATCATCCATATTGATTTGTTTCTACTAACACCCCCACAAGTATCTTTAATTACTTAAATTTTATTATGTCCAGACTAACTCTAAAGCTGCTTCCTTGCAACAACCTGCTACTATATATATATATATATATATATATATATATATATATATATAAATATATAAATAAATAAATAAATAATGTGTGTGTTTTTTTTTTTCCCCTCACCCACAAGTACAGAAAACCTGTTTCCTACACTCTAACCTTTTCAGTCCTTTGTCATTACCCATCTGTTTCTTATTACGTTCCCACACATTCCTTGGTAACCTCCTAATAGATTTAGGTTTACTTTTTTGATTTATTTATATTTCTCTCCCGCCCATTTTTGTTTAATGTATAATTGTAATTAAAATAAGAAAGTTGTTGGTTGGGGGAGTAGGTGATAAAATATACAAGGATAAATTCATCTCAAAGCAAAACAGGAGTGTGTAGGATTTCTTGATTTTAAAAATGACTACTAATTTGTGGTGAAAAGCTAGTATGCAATCAGTTTTCTGCTTTTGCATTTTTAAAATTCAGTAAATGAGGGGTACTATGTATAAATAATTTAGGAACCACATTAAGAAAACAATGGCAATCGTCACAGCTTAAAAATATCCCTAATGCCTAGTGGTCGTTCTACTGTGAAAGAACAGACACCAACAGGCAATTAAAGTGTGTGTTGCTGAAGAAGCACAACAGAGAAAGTGGAGCAAATCAAAAAAGAAAAAATGAAAATATTTGCTACACATGAGTTGGTGTTTTATTTGTTGAGCTGGTCATTAATTTCAGCTTAGCCTGCTGTATCAGATGAGCTTCACCATTCAGTGTGCGTTTAGTAGGGCTGGCCCGAATGTTTATTTTTTGAGCTTTGACAGTATTTAACAGCGAATAATCAAAGCTTTGACGGTGCTGCGGGTGGGGGGTTACGCTACTGGTGGCGTTACCGGTTGTGTTGCCAGCTGTAAGCAGGCTGTTCACGAGATACAGCTATGTATTTCATATTAAATTAAAGCAGAACAACAGAAGGATGAATGCCCAAAAGGTTCTTGCAGTGACATGATTGAGCGAGAAACCTGACAGGGGAGAGAGAATGGAACAGCGGCCACTGACTGTGAGAGAGGGGGAGAGAGAGCGCTTCGTTTCTTTATTTACATTTAGGCTATATAATAACCGCATGTTATTATTACCAAATGGTTTTGTTTAACTTTTCTCGCGGCTAGGCTAGTAGTCCCAAGTGTAGGACTAAGAGTGAGGAGACTGGAGTTAGATAAGAGAAATATTAATTGTGGTGTTGAAGTGATTGGAAATTGAGCCTGGGAAGAGTGAGGCAGACTGGAAGACCTATATACTGCAGGACCTGGTTGATGGCTGCAGTGCGGAGCAGGAGGGAACTGTAGCTGAGAGTCCAGAGGGTGAGAGGCTAAGTTGAGCAGGTCCAGAACAGATATGGGGAATATATTAACCGGGCGCGGGTCCAGGGAGAGCAGACGGGATGAGCACCGTTTCCGGTAGCGGAAAGTAACAAAATGTTATGTAAAATTTGATTTAAACTTTTTTTTACAGGCTACTAAATGTTCTTAAACCCCATAACTGCCGTTGTCCTCATTAAGGATGGGGATCAAGACCCGGTTCCAAAATTTCTCAAAACCTGAAAGTCAATAAGGTTCGAGCTTATCGATACTGCTATCGAGACTTGCGGGTCCCATGATGTAACGTTGAGTCTCGAGCATCAAATCTAATTTTAAATTGAAACGCAATGGATAAAAAAAATCATCAGGGTGCAGTTTCTGCCTGCTCTCTGTGGGCTCCTACACATACACGCACAGCGGCAGCAGAGCGAGAGGGTGAAGCTAAGTTGGCGCCGAACTACTGTAACGTTAGTTGATGACCGCTACGCTCATTACTTTAAGTACGTGTGATAAAACCTTCCCAAGTAAAAAGACAGTACTCTATCAATCTGTAAGTTAACGTTAAACATGTACAATCCCAAAATTGAAAATCGAATGTGTACCCAATGATCGAATATTCAGGTCCAGCCCTAGCTTTTAGTAAGACTTCCTGTGTAGAATGCTGATGTTGCTCTCTGTATTTGCTTATTCCAGCACACATTGGCTGCGAGGTAGGGTACACCCTGGATGGCCTAATTTGCACAGCATAAAATGTGAGACCAGTGCTTTGGCCACTGCGTTGGCACAGCAGGAGTGTGACTTTGCCGTGACAAATGGACAGACTTGTAATATCCTGTCATACATTGACATCTGAAAAGTCTTCGGACTGATGGATATCCGTGTTTCCCACACATAGGCTTTACTTGGGCGGGCCGCCCAGGTAGATTAACACCCGCCCCAAGTAAATTTAGCGAACAATTTTAAAATTGTTTTTGATTGCATAGTGCATATTCGCTCCGCACATCCCCTCACTCGGTCACTCGCTCTCTCTTGCAAACACGGACACCAGACCATCTGTGAATTGATTGGTTGGAAGGGTGTGAACTACAGGGAGCTTATTTCCCTTTAATAAGACATCGGCTCCCCTAAAAGCATGATTTGTGAAATTTTGGGGGGTCCCTAGAATATTGACAGCATGATTTATTGCCATTAATCTCTTTTATTTCTGTATCATGAACAATCACCGGCCGTCCACAGCAGGCCAGTTGCTACGCGATCTGTCCCTGGTCCGCCCCACTCTCTATCAGGACAGGTTGTGTCGCTAGTAAGACCAACGCAATGTGAACGGTTTGCGATTGTTCCCTCTGGCTGGATGAATATCACGCATGATCCATGCACTACTGCAGCTGGGGGCTCTCCACAGTGCCATGCAACTTTCTAAATTCTTCCCTTTCACGGGGAAAAAAAGAGGTCAGGTCACAAACGCATCTGTTGTGTGAAGGGTAATTGTAGCAAAATGGCTATGAAAATAGTAATGGTAATAGCCTAATTATTATTACTATAAGACAAACATGCCTGATACTTTTGCAGTCAGCCCCTGGCGCCCCCTACATGCTTACAGCAAGTAAGGATTCAGCAGTAACAATCACAGTTTGTAAAAACAGCGCTGTCAAGTCAGACACAATCTACCTCCGGTAGACTGCGTGAGCTTAGATGATGATCTAATAATCAGGCCTTGCTTCCACGACGTCTATTAAGGTTTTGCCGCACGGGTGTTGTGCCGTATTCTGCATACCTGCCGTGAACTGCATGCACCTCGCAGGAGGTAACGCTCTTTTATACTGAGAAAAGAGGTGGATGCAAATTTCGGCAGGTAGCCTACAAAATCCGTTTTGCCAAATTATGCATTCACTTATAAAGGTCCTTTTTAAGACACTTTGCTGTTCACATCGTTAGAAAAAGTACCATTTCTTGAGATTCAGTAAAAACGTGCCGCTTTCAAAGTGTAATAAAATATGAACGATTCTTGACATTCATTAAATATATACTGATCATTTATCACAATTGATGAACCCCACAAAGAATATAATAAATGCTGTTATCTTATGTGCATGTGTTCACTCGCACACACTTCACTCTGTTAAAAACTTGGTAGTCAATGATGTTCCAAGTCGCGGTGGATATGTTCTAAGTGAGGACCAGGTAAAGCAGCAGTGAACTGCGTCATTAACAAGCCCACAAGCGGCTCACCTGCTGCCGTGATGACAGAGGGTGGAAAAAATACAGAAAAAAGACAAGTTCTGTCTTTTAGGCAACTTTATTAAACGTACTGCTGATGGAGAAAGTGGAGTAGACGGGCGAAGGGGTAGATGGAGAGAGGCGGGGAAAGCCGGTGTGTTTTTACTGAGGTGTAGGCCTCTTGTGTGTCTGAGAGTGGGGAGAAAAGAATTCCGAGGAAGGTGTGAAGCATATTTAAAATTCATAATAATCGTCGTGGTGATTAAAACCTGCTTTCACATGGCGGTATTATGTGAAATTTTGATTTGTTTTGCCGGGGGGCAGGGTTTTACAAACACGATACCTGCTCGACCATCGACCATCTGTCAGCCATTGCCAATGGACGATGTCATCGTCTGTCGGCCCAACCTTACCTCTTAGGCCCCATCCACACTACTGTGACCTTTTGCTACATTTGCACCTCCTGTCCAGACTAAAACAAAGATCTACAACAGAGAAGTTTGAAAATGCTGACCCTGTTTTTTGTTTTAAAACTCCCAGTAGCATTTTGGGTGCGGACAGGCAAAAACGGAGGACTTTAGAAACGATGGCGCTTACGTTTGGCGATCTGATTGGGTCTTATCAGTCATGCAAAGCAGAAACACAATGCTACTGACAGTTTTTGATTTGGTGTTTTTATAAAAATATTTTGTACCGTGCAAATAACACTTATGGCCTACACTTGTACTGTGCATGTCGCAGTTTACTTTGCAATGACTTCCAGTCTGTTTTCCGCAGCCACAGTCGCTTTTAACTCCTGTGTTACATTCACTACATTACAATTCATTTAGCTCACGCTTTTATCCAAAGCGACTTCCAATTGCTATATGTCAGAGGTCACACATCTGGAGCAACTAGGGGTCAAGTGTATTGCTCAGGGACACACTTGATTTATTGTAATTATCTTCTCATTGGTCTTCCACTCAAATCCGTACATAAACTTCAACTAGTTCAGAACTCTGCTGCCCATATCCTCACCAGAACCCCTCCTCCAATAATCATATTACTCCTGTCCTTCAGCAGCTTCATTGGCTCACAGTTACCACTCACAATACCACATTGATTTCAAGATTCTGCTTCTGACCTTCAAGGCCATTCATAACCTCTCTCCTCTGTACCTCACTGACCTCCTTCACATTAACACACCCACCCGTACTCTTAGGTTGTCTTCTTCTATTCACCTCACTGTACCTCCTGCTCGTTTGACCACCATGGGGTTCAGAGCCTTCAGCCGCTCTGTCCCTCGTCTCTGGAACTCTCTCCCACCAGACATCCGCGACTTTGACTCGCTTTCCAATTTTTAAATCCCGCCTGAAAACGCATCTTTTTAAACTGGCATATCCCCCATGATCACTTTCTCAAACTTTGTTTCCAGTTATGTACCCTGATTTTATGCACTGTAATTATAGTTAATTTTATCAATTCATTGCTGTACTGTTTTATGTTTTGTGAGTCGCCTATAAATGTATTGTGGTAGTATTATTATTATTGGTGGTATTATTATGTGTGATAGTGGGGAATTGAACCCAGGTCTCTCACACCAAAGGCATGTGTCTTATCCATTGCATCATTGACATGCAAAAAGAAAATCAGGTGTGATTTTTTCCTCTTACTTTATTCTTTCGCCAGATCTTCTGCAACAACAGAATACACCATCTGCTTCATGTTTACATGGGCACGTGCATGCCCAGTGTACCTGAACGGCCGCTAGCTGTGCATTTTCAGTCGTTTTAATATAGACAGAGATCAACTCTGATACGCAGCAGAAATGCTGGTGTGGATGGAGATTGTATTCGTTTTAAAACTCTGTTTTTAAATAAATGGAGTAGTGTGGATGGGGCCTTAATCTCTGTCTCAATTCATTAACTGTACGAAGGTCCCTCTTCCGTTTTGAGTTCCCATACACATCTGAGACCGTTTGTCTAACAGGCCCCCATGTATGCATGCAGTGCATTAGGTATTCGCGCAGATGAAAAGTAAGATGCTATCTTTAGGTATCCTTTTCTCCTGTGTTTTCTAAAGCAGATGATATCCAGTTTAATGTTGCATTACTGCTCTTATCTTGTTTTCCTTTTCCAATATTTGTAAGACATTACTCATAGTGCTTTATGCCAAAGATCTCCATTTGAGATGACAAAAGCTCAGCGTTAACGCCATTGATAAGTGTCTTTGTATTCTTTTTGTACACCCCTACTTTTCACATGCACTCACAATCGGGAGGGACTAGAGTGAAAAGACACCTGATGCAATGATTGAATGTAATGTTCTAGTGATTATGAATGTTTGATGTGTTTGTAACATGTAACTAGTGATGGGCTGATATCTGGCATTTTGAGATGAATGACATTGGCTGATATCTGTACTCAGGAGGCCCATATATCATCTTAAATGATAACAAATCGAATTTAAAACCTTTAAAATATATATAGTATTCTCGCGCTCGCTCGCTCTCTGTGTGTGTGTGTGTGTGTGTGTGTGTGTGGAGAATGATGCAGTTGACATCATTTCTGAAACTCTATATCCCATTCTCCCTTAAACACCAGTCACCATCTCAAATCTACAGGATAACCCCGTATATATTTTTTTTATTTAATTAATTAATAAAAATTTCATCTAAAATAACACATTACTTAAGATAACTACATATATTAGATTGTACTCTGCATGCAGTAATGGAATTATCCATTTACTTTTGTTTTTTGGACATTGGCCGTCCTGCTCCTGGGTATCGGCCATTGAAAAACCCAAATTGGTCGATCACTACCTTCGTAACGTACAAATTAAGTCTGGCGCTGTCGGTCTCGATGCATAAAATGTGTAATGACTCAACCATTGTATGAAAATCATTCTTGACAGGGTTGTACTTGGATAGCTAATTAGGCACAAAATTTCAAAGTAGAAACTGTTGGTGTTCTGGGTTTTTGTTGTATGTTTTCTGTTCCATTGAGAGCTTTTAGTTAGTGTTTACTGTCCAGTTTTCTTCCCTTTCTCAGGTCCGTGCTGTGGATGAAATGAACTATGACTTCCAAGCTCTTGCTTTGGAGTCAAGGGGCATGGGAGAGGTAAGAAGTTTTTGGTCCTAACATCCCTCTTTCTCTCCATTTATAAACGGCAATAAATCAAAATGTAAATCCGAACCTCAACCTGTGTTAAGTGTACTCAGATTTTTATCAGAGAATGAAGCTAACAAACACCACAGTAAAAACTAATGTTTGAACTTCACAATTGTAAATCAACCACCATACATCAGATTTGAAATAAGATGTGCTTATTGTTAAATGTAAATCTTACATTGCACTTAAACTTAAATCTTGCAGATTCTTAGAAAACATGTATTTATTTGCAGCTTCTGCCAGCAAAAAAGCTCTGGGATTCTGATGAATTGGCCAAAGATGGAAGGAAAGGGATGCTTCTTGGAGAGGAGTGGAGGGACAATGCATGGGGATCATCTCGTGAGTGTCTCCTATACCTTTTTGTGTATAATTACTTGTAACTTCTTTCTTTAAGATAAAAGAGTAAATATACAGACTTTATTCAAAGTCAAATTACATGATTGGAAATGGCATTTTGTCTCAGCCGCTGACTGTGAGTTTCAGTGTTGCCTTTATCTGAGTGGGTATTTACCCAGCTATAGATTATATATAAACAACTATTTAGATATTTGATCGCAGCTTTTCATTCAGATCATTCAGTGTCTCAGCCAATCATGGTGCAGCGGCGACCAGGCCAGAGTTTCCATGGGAATGGTGATGCCAATTCTGTGCTTTCGCCTCGCTCAGAAGGTGGAGGCCTGGGGGTGAGCATGGTAGAGTACGTCCTGAGCTCCTCTCCTGGTGACAAGATGGATGGTCGCTACAGGAATGGTGGCTATGTAAGTAAACTCAAAAGGGGTGTCTTATATTAAACACTTATGGGTTGCTCCTAGCCTTACCTAATCTTTTTTTATGAATACAGGGTGGAGAAGATGTTGACCAGGATGGGAGAGAGAAGGGTGACGCCCAGGAGAAGGTGTCCCCCTTTGAAGAAGACAAGAGCACAGAGATGAAGGTGGGAGAGGAGAGTGATCCCGCTAAAGCCAATGGTAGAGGTCTACTAAACGGCATGGACAGAGACTGCAAAGATTTCAAGTAGGTTTTGTTTTTAAGGTATCAAAGTGAACAGCTACCTATTATTACTTGGTGCTTTATAACTAGTGGTTTTAAATGTGACTGTGGGTTTTGTGCACTGATTAACTTTTATTTTCCCAGTCCAACCCCTGGAAGCCGTCAAGCTTCCCCCACTGAGGCTGTGGAGAGGATGGGTCCCAGTCAGACTGGTTTGGAGATGATGGGCCAGCACCACCACCACCATCACCACCCCCACCACCACCCCCATGCCCTCCACCAACACAACCCCGGCCAAAACAAAGCCCCAGCCGAGGAATTCCATAACCAGGAGACTCAGAACATGGGGGGTATGGAGCAGCAAGCTGGTGTGGAGTCCCTCCAGTTTGACTATGCTGGAAACCAGATTCAGGTGGACTCCTCAGGGACCCCCGTAGGATTGTTTGACTACAACTCTCAGCAGCAGGTCTGTTGATAAACATGACAGATCTATAAAGAGATCTAACTGTAAGTTTGCTTAGCAGATTGTGATCCTTTCTTTGTTTGTTTTGGTTTCCCCAGTTGTTCCAGAGATCTAATACCCTGACTGTTCAGCAGCTCACTGCAGCTCAGCAACAACAATATGCCCTGGCTGCAGCCCAGCAGCAGCATCTCGGTAAGTCGGGCTATTTGTCTTACTCAGTGTGTCTTGTAATATAGTTAATAGTTGCGTGGTCATTTGAGTGGAATTTGATAGGGAAATATAAATTAAATTACTCTTCCTCACATTTCCCAGCTGGTCTTGCTCCTGCATTTGTGCCAAACCCTTACATCATCAATGCTCCCCCTGGAACCGATCCTTACACAGCCGCTGGGCTGGCAGCAGCAGCCACGCTTGCAGGTGATCATACAGCACATTTTTTGTCCCTTGCAAAAATCTACATTATCAGTTGTATAAGATGTGCATGTAACATCAAAACGTTTTGCTCAGGCCCCACAGTGGTTCCACCTCAGTACTATGGCGTTCCTTGGGGTGTGTACCCAGCCAATCTTTTCCAGCAACAGGCTGCATCAACTGCCAATCACTCTGCTAATCAGCAAGCATCCAATCAGGGACCAGGGCCAGGTCAACAACAGGTAGGTGTTGTGCTTGATCAGAGGTGTTTCATAAAGGTGGCTCTGAAAAGTAGGGACTCGTTGTGAAAAGCCTGTCTTGAATAAGTCTAATAAATAGCACCAGGGTTAAACAATTCATAAGACAACTCTGAGCTAATTTAAGCAGACTAAAGCAGTTTGGTTTATTTCAAGGTTCATTTAGTTCTCATTTTACAGCACGGGGTTGCACAGTGAAATGAAAGTTGTAGCCTGCTTCACACAGAACATACAGTGTATATACAGATATTTTAAACTTATAAATATACAAAAAAGAAATTATATACAGGTACTTATACACATGTAATTTATTTTATTCATGATTTCATCAAATCAAAACATCAAGCACTGATTTCATAATTTCACAGTGAAGAAAACGGCCATGTTCAGACAAAACTATGTTCACGTCCACACATCTGCACATTTTAAAGTAAATAATATGGAGACTGAAACATTTGTTAAAAACAAACACTGTTTGAATACCTTCAGAATAGCTGTCTGTCCCGCTTGTATTTTAACAGACAGATTTCAGGGGTTCTGTTTCTTGTTCAAGTGACATTTTAAAGCGAGAATAAGTGGTAAACCCCAATTAATCTACAGCTATGGGTGAAAGTTGCATACTTGATTGTAACTGCAGAGCATTTAAACACAAATGTTCACCAGAACGCTGTGCCAATCCTTTAGACTGAAAAAGATGTGAGCTCAGATTAAGTGTAAAAGTCCATTTCAAAATGTGATGCATTTTATATGCACTGCAAATTGACTCATGTTCACATTGCAGCAGTGAATAGGAACTATGGAGAAAGCAGTTTGGGCGTGTCCACCAAAATGTTTTTTTCCTGAGACGGCATCTTTTTTTTCTGCCGTCTACTCAGTAACTCTCTAACAAGATGGAGGGGAGACACAACGCTGGCCAACGCTGTTAAAGACTTGGCTTGTAAAAAGAAAAGCAACGGTTCAGTCAGTGTTTCCCACATATACACTTTATATCGGTGGGTCGCCCAGGTTAGGCGACACATTGTAGCATTTAACAGAGAAACACCGTGATTACGTTACAAGTCGCAACACGGTGGATATTTTACAAGAGTGGACCAGGTAAAAGGACAGTGAACACACCAGTCAGATGTTATTAGTTAGCTACCATGTTGGTTTTGTTTTGAAAGGCTATGTCGTCCACACGCCTCCTCAACATGCAGCTCAGCTGCTGCTGTGAATGTAATCACGGGAGGAAAAGTCCAGAAGATGCGTTCTGTTTTTTTTGTTTTTGTTTTTTTTGCTGACTTTATACAGTCTAGCCTACTACTGATGGAGAAAGTCACCGAAGCGGACAGACAGGGAGAGAGACGGTGAAGCCCCTTTTCCACTGCACATTACCAGCTTGCCTTGCCTCGCCTTTTTTTGGTTTTCCATTGTGTTAAATTTGTGGTACTTGAACCCGCTACCAGGTACTTTTTTTTTAAAATTTATTTTTTAATCACTTCCGTCTTATCTGTCTTTACATTCTGAGTAATGTTGAAACGTTTTAACTTAAATCAAGAGACCGCTGTTTTGTGTGTCGCATTGAACATTATGTCGCGGCAGGTGTGTGTGTGTGTGTGTGTGTGTGTGTGTGGTGTCGCTATGACGACCAGCTATATTGAGGGGCGCTATCTCTGGGTACTATCTACATTGGAAAACGGAGGACAGCCAAACCAAGTCGAGGTGTGTTGAGCTGTTACTGGTAATGGCTGTGTGCAGCAGTGGTATGTTAGGTCTGTGAGTGTAAAGAGATCAGAAGGTGAATTTAATAAGTGAGTGATACTTAAGATGGAGAATGAAGTGTAATTAAAACGGTGAGGTAAGTTACTAAAATCAGTAAAAACATGCCCACTAAACCCACCTGTCCGCTTACCAGAAAATGCTAATAAATGTTTTATACCGGAATTCTGCTTAGCAGTACCGGGATATAACCTTTTGGCCATATTGCCCAGCCCTAGTTCAATTTTAGGAAAAAGGCAGCGCTTGTCACTTTTTACCAAGCCATCCAATCACAGTCCAGGATGAGCGGGACAGCACCTTACCAAGCCATCTCAGCTCTTGAATGAAATGATTTGCCTCCTCGCCGAGGTATTTCCTCAACCACAAAATCTCATGTACCCATGTACGGCGAGTCCATACCCTCGCTCTACATGTTTCAGCCTTCTCTTCATGCAGAGCAAAGGCCAGAGCAAGAAGGCCTACATACTCTGTGGTGACATTTTTACATTCAGTAAAATTAGGTAGCCTACTTGCTGCGTACCTTAGCGCTCCCAGCTTAGCGTTTCAGAACAGCTGGTGTATTCAGCTGGTTAAAAAAAAAACGCTTTGGTGGACGCAGGCCCTTACAGTCTGTCAGATTGATTGCTGGACACTAAGTGCTGGTTAGATTTGAGGTGAAGCAAAGCCAGAAAACTAGGACCAGGCTAGTCAGAAGGGATAAATTGCCATGGTAACTTAGTCTGAATCATTTAAACCTGCTTCATAAAGCAGAGTTTTCAACATCCCTCTGGTTTATTTATTTACAGTGCCTTGGAAAAAGTATTGGCTTTTCTCGTGTTTTTGTTGCCTCACAACCAGGAATTAACATGGATTGTTTGAGGATTTGCATCATTTAATTTACAGAATATGCCCACAACTTTTGAAGATTTTATTTTTTATTTTTATTGTGAAGCAAACAACATAGGACAAAATAACAGAAAGTCTTCAGTAAAAAGTATTCACCCCACATCTATTGCCACATCTTACCACTGGGATTTTTTTCCCATTCCTCCTTGCAAAACTGGTCCAGCTCCTTCAAGTTAGATGGTTTGCGCTTGTGATTTGGATTTTGGAAATTGGATTTACATGTGTTCCTGCTGTAAGGTGAACCTCCATCCTAGCCTCAAATCACGCACAGAGTTGTACAGGTTTTGCTCAGGAATATCCCTGTATTTAGAACTATCCATCTTTCCCTCAACTCTGACCAGTTTTCCAGTCCTGGCTGCTGAAAAACATCCCCACAGCATGATGCTGCCACCACCATGTTTGACTGTGGGCATAGTGTTCTTTGGGTAATGTGATGTCTTGGGGTTGCGCCAGGCGGTGTTTTCTTTAATGGCCGAAAGTTAAATTTTAGTCTTATCAGACCAGCGCGCCTTCCTCCCATACATTTTGGGAGTCTCCAACATGCCTTTTTGCAAACTCAAAACGTGCCATTTTGGTTTTTGCTGAAAGTAATGGCTTTCTTCTGGCCACTCTGCCATACAGCCCAACTCTATGGAGCGTACGGCTTATTGTCGTCCTATGTACAGATACTCCAGTCTCCCCCCAGGATTACCTTAGGTCTCTGTGCTGCCTCTCTGATTAATGCCCTCCTTGCCCGGTCCGTGAGGTTTGGTGGGCGGCCGTCTCTTGGCAGGTTTGCTGTAGTGCCATGTTCTTTTCATTTGGTTATGATTTGATGGTGCTCCTGGGGATCATCAAAGATTTGGATTTTTTTTTTATTTTTTTTTTATAAATAACCTAACCCTGACTTGTTCTTCTCTACTACATTGTCCCTTACTTGTTTGGAGAGTTCCTTGGTCTTCATGGCAGTGTTTGGTTAGTGGTGCCTCTTGCTTAGGTGTTTAAATATTTTTCTTGTTTTGTTTTTTTTTATGAGGAATTTATGTACTTTTCTGTCCTTGGGTTAAAGTGTGTGTGGCTCACATTGAAAAAGGTGATGTCATATCTTCTGTGCACCAATCAGATTTGAAAAATGTTTGAATCAATATGTGATGACCGTGGTAGGTCATTTGTTTATGTTGCTAGGCACCACACATACAGTCCTGATAAAACAGATTAGCTGAACTTTAACACTGATTCTTCCCTATTTAGTCTAAAATATTCTATAGAAATACTTCAGATCTGAAACCAACTTTTCAGGAACTTTTGTAAGCTTTCAATGCAGACAGTATCTTAACCTTCTCCTCCAGGTGATGCGCACAGGATCCAACCAGCGACCTCTTACACCTGGGCAAGGCCAACAGAGTCAGCAGGAATCTCTAGCGGCAGCAGCTGCAGCAAACCCTGCATTGGCGTATGCAGGAATGTCTGGTTGGTAGCCCACTTTATATAGCCATTTAGCCAAAGATACTAACAGCCAAACACATTTATCTTCACTGCTTGCTGTTGTCATTTGAACTGTTTTTTTTTTGTTTTTGTTTTTTTAAATGTTGTAGTATATAAAATGCTGGCTTTAGCTGAGTGACTTTTTAAAATGTTTTGTGTGCACTAATATAATTGTCTCATTTTCATCTTTTCAGGTTATCAGGTCTTGGCCCCTGCGGCCTATTATGACCAGACTGGGGCCCTAGTGATGGGCCCTGGTGCCCGAACTGGTCTAGGTGGGCCAGTCCGTCTAGTCCAGACCCCTCTCCTCATCAACCCTGCAGCAGCACAAGCTGGTAAGTACCAGTCCACCTGTTCCACATCATTTTTCAATATGGGGCTCCAGTTCTCCCTGTTCTTGATCACTCAAGACCATTCCCAACCTCTCATTTTACCCCCTACACTTCCCTTTCTCTCTCTCTCTCTCCACCAGCAGCTGCGGTATCAGCATCTGGCTCCGGTAACAACATGTCTGGTCCTCCCGCCAACGGGCTGTACCGCTCCATGCCTCAACCTCAACCCCAGCCACCGCAGCAGCAGGCTCCCCCACAAAACAGCGGCCTTCCCTCCAGCTCATTTTACGGCTCTGGATCAGTCCCTAACACGTCTCAGAGCAGCTCCCTTTTCTCACACACCTCTGCTGCACCACCAAGCTCCTCCCTGGGCTTCAGCAGTACTGGTGGCTCCCTTGGCGTAGGCCTGGGCTCTGCTCTTGGAGGCTTTGGTTCTTCTGGTCAGTGACTCCGCAACATGCGGGATTAAAGAAACAGTTAATTTTTAGGAGTCTGTTGTCTTACACTGGTTCTCTTTTTGTTTTTCCTCACAGTATCCAGCTCTACCAGTAGCAGCGTATCTCGCAGGGACTCCCTGTTGGCGAGTTCTGATCTATATAAACGTGGTGGCAGCAGTTTAACTCCCATCGGCCAGCCCTTTTACAACAGCCTGGGTTACTCCTCTTCACCCAGTCCCATTGGCCTCACACCAGGTCACTCCCCACTCACTCCTCCACCCTCTCTGCCCTCCTCTCATGGATCTTCTTCCAGCCTTCACCTCGGTAAGCCTGCTATTCCTGTGAATAGTGAATGATTCATTTTGAATTGTAGTTGATTTTTAAGGAGGACATTTTACACCCAGTTGTATTAAGTGTTCATTGGTAAATTATTTTGAAGGTAACTATGAAGTCCTAACCTTTTGCTGCTGTGTTTTTTAAAATTTGATAGGGCTGAACGACGTGGGGTGGGGTGGGGGTGGGGTGGGGGTAATTAACCTACATTTTAATCGCTGTCTTCACGATTAGCTAATCACGTTCTTTCAAATCACAATTTTGATTTGAAAACAATCGTTCAGCCCTAATATTTAATTGTACTTCAATATTTTTCTGAAATTTGCCTTTCGTGATAAAGTGTACACTGTTTCACCTTTTTTGTTTATGGTCAACAGCTGCCACCACTACAACAGTATCCGGTCATTCTGTAATCCTAGGTGGCCTGACGAATGGCAGCGGGCGTTACATTTCTGCAGCACCTGGAGCTGAGGCCAAGTACCGGAGCGCCGGCGGGACATCCAGTCTCTTCAATTCCAGCAGCCAGCTGTTCCCTCCATCTAGGCCCCGCTACAGTCGTTCTGATGTCATGCCGTCCGGACGCAGCCGCCTACTAGAAGACTTTAGGAACAACCGCTTCCCAAACCTCCAACTCCGTGACCTGCCAGGACACATGGTGGAGTTCTCTCAAGACCAGCATGGATCCAGGTGTCTAAGATATGCTTGCTCTAGCTTAAAAATACTGCTTTATTTAGAAATTCTAACTGTAAACCTTAAAACACGAAGTACAGTGTGTTGGTGTATCAATCTAATATCTTTATTTTCCATCTCCACTTTTTGTTCCAATTTTGTCTGTCTAGATTTATCCAGCAGAAGCTTGAGAGGGCTACTCCTGCTGAGAGGCAGATGGTGTTTGGAGAGATTCTGCAAGCAGCATACCAACTGATGACTGATGTTTTTGGGAACTATGTGATCCAAAAGTTCTTTGAGGTTGGGACTGAAAGTTTATCTAGGTGTCATTTCAGTAAACACAGTATTATCTAGAATAGAGACGTGTGTAGCATATGTGCAAAATAGAATTTGTTTTTATGTTTTGTGCAGTTTGGAAGTGCAGACCAGAAGCTTGCTTTGGCAACACGTATCCGTGGGCACGTCCTTCCCCTGGCTTTGCAGATGTATGGATGCAGGGTCATTCAAAAAGCCCTGGAGTCCATTTCCTCAGACCAGCAGGTAATTGTAAGTGAGATTTCACTTCTTTTTACTGACAATTTTGTTAACCTTGTCTTATAGAGGTCAATCCTGACACATTTTAATACGGTTACAATTTTGTTACTTCAGAGCGACATTGTCCGTGAGCTGGATGGTCACGTGTTGAAGTGTGTGAAGGACCAGAATGGAAACCATGTGGTGCAGAAGTGTATTGAATGTGTTCAGCCCCAGGCCCTACAGTTCATTATTGATGCCTTCCAGGGACAGGTGGGATTATTAGTATTTTTATTACCATTCATTCCCCTTCATCTACATTTTAAGTTGGTGGAAATGTAAAATATTTAAAATACCTAATTACAAATCCAAATGTCCCCTGTTTGCTTTGACCAACGGCGTTGTGTAATTTAAATGTAAAATTAATAAGGAACAAATGGGGCGGGGGGGGTTTAGTGTGGGGAGAAGAGAATTCCGAGGCAGGTGCAAAGCATAGGCCACTTAAAAACAATAAGAATGTTCGTGGTCATTAAAACCTGCAGTCACAATGCCAGCTCAACGTTGTGATGTCTGTCAGCCATTGCCAACGGACAATGGCATCGACTATTGGCCCAACCCTAGCTTTAATATTGTAGTTATGCAAAACTGTGTGAATTTGCGAATCTACTTGTATCTTATTTTTTTTATTTCATTTCACAGGTGTTTGTGCTTTCTACACACCCGTATGGCTGCAGAGTCATCCAAAGGATTTTGGAGCACTGCACCCAGGAGCAGACTCTTCCCATCCTGGAAGAGCTGCATCAGCACTCTGAACAGCTGGGCCAGGTGAGCACATCCGTCTTCATTTCTAAGCCCACAGTGTTTGCAGATGTCATTTTGTAGATTTGTGTTTTGACTGATTGTTGTTGAGATGTGTGCTTGTATCGTATGTGCACATGTCCATCATGTTTTGAGCATTTCATATTTTCATTGTTCCTGTGTAGTTGTGGTCTGCTAAGTGTAAAGTGTAAGGATGAATGTAATTATACTGTTACCTGTCATTACATCTGACATATGTGATTATTTAAACATCCACCCTGCCCCCCCTCACTTATTCCATCTAGAAATATCAAGGCGTATCATTGGAGATGACACCCAAAACATATTATACAGTGTCCCGCGATGCACTGTTCAAGGTCAGAGCAATTTGCCTCTCTCTCGCGGATGTCCCCGTGCTCCCTTCCTCTTTCCCTTTTTTATCTTTTCTTAAGAATCTAATTTAACACTTAGATTGTTCTCCAACTTCCAACTTTTACAGGCCTTTTCCTAACCCACTGAGCCGCCTTTCTCTCACCTCCCTCACCACTCTTGCTTTATGCCACAGAGGATTCACAAGGCACGTGCTTCCCTGCTGTCTCATGATCCCTCTTTTGCCAACAGCATCTCCTGATCAATCTGTTTTTCTATTTGGTTTTTTTAAATCTTGATTTCACTAATTGTTAGAAGCTTCCTGAGAGTTTGAAACTATTTGAACAACTAAAGGGTTCATAAGTAGTTAAAAAATCCCTTTTAACTTTACCTTGAGTATTTGGCCTTAAGGGTGCATTAAGCGATTCTGAAGAAATCAAACACCATGACAAAAATTGCTGTGGTGAAGTTAAGTTGGCTCCAAACTACTCGAGTTGCCGACGTGTGGCGCTCGTTATATGCAATAAAACCTTCGAGTAAAAAGACAATACTTTATCAGTACACCTGTCTTAAGGTAAACATGTAGCAAGGGTTCATTTTAAACTGCTCTGTCAGTCTCTCATCCTGTGGGTCCTATACAAGCACAGCTAACATTAGCTAGGCAATTAGCCAAATGTTACAAACAAGCTAATAGAAAGCTGTCTCTCTGGAGCATAGACTGGTCTGTAGTCTTAAAAATTGTTAAATACTAAGCTTCTGGCTGAGACAAATCAGCCGCTCCTCCTTCCATCAGGTAACGTTACCTGCAGGCAGTGATTAACAGCAGAGATGAAGAGGAGGGACTGATACAGACTGATTTCTGAACGTCACTCAGTATTGTCAAATTGACAATACGGCGACTTTGCTGTTGTAAACATTAATGTTGCTGCTCTAGAAACAATATTTAGCTGTATTTAAAATATTCTATTCCTATAATTAATTTAAAAACAACCAGGCAGCTATGAGCACTTCAATATTATGTTTATTTATCACAAGTCATATGTCATCTCAGTATTAAATGTTATCATATCTATCAAATATATATGGAATGAAATCATCATCTGATGTCATTAAGGCACTGGCGCCATCTTGTGTTTTTGATGTGATTAATCCGTATGGATGTAATTGTAACACTATGAGCAAATAAGTAAGAAATCTAGTGTCAGCTATTTGGAGCATTGAAGAGATTACAAACACACTAGCAAATGCATGTACAAGCCATAATACTGGGAACCATATCCAGTAGTTCTCCTGATGAAGAAATTTATTCTCTTTCATCGTGGAAGATCAAATGCAGGAAACCTCCCAGGCCAGGTAGTTCCCATTTATCAGGCAAACAAGCCTTCAACCTCACAGGTGCCCCCACAACAGCTTAAGTTAGTTCACATCCAAACTAATCTTTTAAACACCAAAGTCACAGAAAAAATAACCTGGCAGCGGAAACATTTTTTGTCAATGGAGTTCGGTGGCTTTAAAGAGAGCGATATAACAGCTATTTCTGTTTAAACACAGGATCTTACTCTTTAAAAGTTACTGCCTGAGCCCTTTTGGGTGGACATACGAAGATTGTATATAGGGGTTGCTGTGGGGGGCACCTGTGAGGTTAAAGGCGTATTTCAGTTTGCCTGATAAACGTGAACTGCCTGGCCTGGGAGGTTTCCTGCATTTGGTCTTCCACAATAAAAGAGAATACATCTCTAAATCAGGAGAACGGTACTGGATGTGGTTTCCAGTATTTTGGCTAATACATGCATTCGCCAGTGTCTTTATAATCTCTTCATTGCTCAAAATTGCGGACGTTGGACACTTTCTTGCTGATTCACTAACAGTGTCACATTTCACATCAGTGACGTCAGATTTCATTCTATATATTCAGATGGATAAACCATATAGATATAGAGAGGAAATTTTCATTCCTCATACCGTGCAGGCCTACCTCATGTCCTTTGGGTCTGGTCTTTACCAAATAACTGTCACCAAATAATAGTAACCTAAAGTATCGATAAAGAATTGGATCGTTAAGCAATCTCAATAAGGGTATCATTATCAATAAAAATTAACGATCTGCACGCACACACACACACACACACACACACACACACACACACACACATATAATGGACAGCTAGCAGACCGTGAGAAAATGAATTTGATAGACATATTTTGGTTTAGAATCGCTTCCTCCGCCTCTTAAATCCAAGAGCAAAATAATACAGATTCTACTTAAAAACAGATTGACAGGAAGTTGATTTGAAGGCAAATACTTTCAAAATAAAGGTGGAGATTGCCTTACCAACCCAACAAATTACTACTTTTACAACATCAAGTCAGAGTGGTGTTATTTGTTGCTTGGCCAGGTGAGTTCTTGTCATGCTAAAATTACACCCATAACTGTCTATCACCCATTTCTGAAGGGGCAAAGATGCTATTGGTTGTGTTGTTTGGTCAGCATCACTCCAAACCAGCAGCATCTGTTTTGTCTGACCTTCCGCAGTGATGACGTAAGGGTATTTGTAAGACTACAAATGGGGGTGTCACTCATTCGTCTACCTATCATTGTAGAGATGCATGATTCTCACACCAATTAAGACCATGGTATAAGGTAGTGCATGCGTATCAATTGGTAAAGGGTGTTGCACCGATTAAGTGATTAATCAATATTGAAATGACTATTTACCTTGAGCTCACATCTCCACTGCCTCCTGCAGGATCAGTATGGTAACTACGTCATTCAGCATGTTTTGGAGCACGGCAGACCAGAAGATAAGAGCAAGATAGTCGCAGAGGTTCGCGGAAAGGTTCTTGTGCTCAGCCAACACAAATTTGCAAGGTAAGAAATGTGTTGATGTAGAGGCAGAGATTAATGAGAAAAATTTTTATTGGAATTTTTGATTTGCAAGAATAATAAAGAGCTTGTTGAATGATCTGCTACTATATCATGTTATAAAACAGAAATAACTTAACACTTCATGAAATGCAAACATTTAATGAACATGGATCACATGGCTTTATGCAACTGTTTGGTCTGCTCTGAAGCATCCTGAAGAGGGGAAATGCTATCAATAAATCTTGATTCTAACACAGACGTCAGAAAGGTTAGACCAACTAGAGACTTTTAGTGTTGGTATTGTGACCTCTTCAGGTACTCACTGTTCCATCATATGTAAACATCAGCCCAACAGGCCTTGTATTATAATGGGTAACAAATACAATATGGACGTAAAAAGAAAGTGATTCGAACGTTCAGCCTTCCAAATGGAAAAATAAAAAGCATCCACTGACTGACTGGCCAGTGCTGTAACTCCTTTAGCAGCTCAGTTGTGAATTTGTATATGTGTAATAGAAGCTTTTCTCTCCTCCAGTAATGTTGTGGAGAAGTGTGTGATCCACTCTTCGCGTGCAGAGAGAGCTCTGCTGATAGATGAAGTGTGCTGCCAGAAAGACGGGCCCCACAGCGCACTGTACACCATGATGAAGGACCAGTATGCCAACTATGTTGTCCAAAGAATGATTGACATGGCCGAACCTGCCCAGCGTAAAATCATCATGCACAAGGTTGGTTAACTGCTACATTTGCGTGATCTCGGATATGGAACGAGGGGGCCTATATGCACTCAAGGGTGCAGGGAATTCATGTTATTTGAACAAAGTGAGGAAAAGTGTGAACAAACGAACGCTTGTTTCTCCATAAATGCAGCGTAACAAATACCAATGATTACAGCTTGACTTCTAATATAATCAGAAAACAGTAATGACTTGTTGACCAATTTGTTCCACTTGGTACATACATTGAACCATTTTGTTATTCTAATATAGTTGTGGAAAACATGTTTTGCAAAAAATGAGTTTCTTGCTTCTCTTCCTTATTGGATGTGTTTTTGACTTGGTGCAAATTAGTTGACTCTTTAAGATTAAACCACACCGATTTTGGACTGCAGCTAATACTTGTTGTCATTGATTGCCAGTAATTTTCTTGATTTGGTAAGTGTTTGGTCTATAAAATGTAAGAAAACTAAAGAAATGACCATCTCGAGAGGCCATGGTGACGAGTTCAAATGTCCAAAACCTAAAATTATTGAATTTACTATCATAGAAAACTAAGAACCAGTGAAGAATCACATTTTAGGAGCTGGAACCAGTAAATATTTTGGGTTTGCTGCTTCCAATATGGCTTTCGTTGATTTTCAAAATTGTTGATCAATTATTAAATTAACGGATTAATCATTTCAGCTCTACTTTGAATTTGCTGACCTTTGCGCTCTCTTTCAGATCCGGCCTCACATTGCCACTTTACGCAAGTACACTTACGGAAAGCACATTCTGGCCAAGCTAGAAAAGTACTACATGAAGAGCGGTTCTGAACTGGGTCCCATCGGTGGTCCCACTAATGGCCTCATGTAGTCATGCTGACATCCTGGGTCCCCTGAAGAAGTGGAGGAGTAGGAGCCCCAAACCCCCCTGTTCTGTGAGAGATACTCCTTAGTCCTAGGGGTTAGCCTTTGACACCCTCTGTCATGCCATTTTTGGGGGAATTACCAAAAAAACACAAGGCAAGAAAAGGACAAGTCAACTTCACCTAAGAACGCTGTGACAACTGATCCCTGCCACTCTGCCACCCCTGGTGCAGGTCCCCAGCGTGGCCCCCAGCGGACGTACAGTCAGCAGAATGATTTCTTTTTTTCCCTGGGTAAAGCACAAACCCATTGTTAATGATGTAATTGATGTATTTGACTGGTTTTCATATTATCTTGTACATTTAGTTTTTTACCTTGTAAATTCTCTGTAGAAAAAAAAAACCATACACATTTGCTGAAATTTACAATTCCTACAATTAACACCAGCAAGTGATTTTTATAAGGCTAAACAGAGTAATCCTTTTAAAAAAACAATTCCATTTGTTTTTGTAACCAGACTTATTATGTCAGCTGTTCTAATTAAGTCTAGGCAATTGAATACTATATTTGTATATTATCCCATGCACAGTAAAAAGTGTTTACCCATGCCAAAGCAGCTAATGGATTGGTTTTCAAATAGCACTACATAGTATGGATGGATATAAACCCCTCTGTCCGCAGATGAGTACTATGTGTGTCACACCACAGTCACCCAGAGGTCTTTAAGACCAGTTTGCGAGCTTGGCTTTGAGGATTGGTGCTTTAGTCTAGAGTAATGTTTTCCATTGGTGGCTTTTTCTTGCCGCCTTTCCTAGGCTGATCGAGGGCATGCATTTACCCCAGCAGTGTGTCTGCCTGATGTTTCGGTACTAAATATTACAGACTGACCAACCTGAGCTGCTGTATCCACCTGAGCGCATATATATATATTTTTTTTGCCGTCTTTCCCTCATCCAGGCGATTACTCGGGGGGGGGGGGGGGGTATGCAAGATAAAAGCTACCATTAACTTATAGAAGCAGAGCAATGAGGTTTGGTTGTACAGCGGGCGTATCACCTCGTATAATCTTAACATGAAATGACCGTAGGGGGGGGGGCTTTTTGTGGGGCTACTGGGGCGGGAGTGGGCTATGTGTTGGCATGCTGTGACAGGTTTTTAATCCTTGGAATGATTTTTTTTCTTTATCATGTTTTGTGTAACATCTTATCTGTCTTGTAGTTTGAGATGAACACTGCCCTAGAAAAAGGTATCTTTATGTACTGCGTAGAAGTAGTTTAGCGATGTATAGCATCTTTATGTATGAGTAAATTGTTGCTTTTGGGTAGGGGGCTTGCAGCAATGATGGGACCCCCACCACCTGAAGTTCAGAGTAGTCCAAAAAAAGTGTTGAGAAATGGAGCTTATCCCAGCTTTGTACATCTGAGGTGAAATTAACTAGAACCACTGGGATATGTTGAAGAAAGGGATGCTGAAAGAACCTTTTTTTAAATGGTTCTGTTTTTGTTTTTTTTTGTTTTTTTTAAAGTTTCATCTTTTCATTTGGATGGGTATGCAAGTGCATTGGTGGAGGCTGGTGGGGCCATCGAAAGCTATACAATTCACCTGTAATGCTCGTAGTGATGGCTTCTTTGCTTCATATGAATAATTGTAGAATACATGTAGTATATGTGCAGTTAATAAGTGTAAGATTATTAGTTTAATTGAGGAAAAAAAAAAAGTCTAGTCGTGGTGTTTGACAGGCCTTGCTCTAAATTTGTAGTGATGCTTTTATTTCGTCTGTACAGTTGTACATTTGTAAACGTTTATGCTGTAAATGGGATGTCTTTTACACTTTTTGGGGAGAAAAGGCAAAAATGTGCATTTTGATGTGTGTGTATATTCATCACTCCTTTCCCCTTGAATATAATGTATACAGTTTTATTTGATCAAGTGTTATTTTAAAGAGAAACTTTATGGCTTCACAATCTGGCATGTTTTTTTTTTTGTTTTTCCGTTTTTAATCCGCTATGGGAAAGGCCAGCCTCTATTTGTACCAGAGCTGTAACATCCACTGTTAGTCTTTCTGATGTGTGACCGTTTAAAAAGAAGAAAAACACTCTACTAAAACTGAGGCTGCATTTAGTCCTCTCTGCTACCATGGAAACTTCACAGGATATGACAAGAATTATTTTTGTACAGAAGAGTGCTGTATTTTGGAAACAGCTACTACCTTGTAAGCAAACGCAATGTAAAATATTGTCAATTATATAAATATGAACATATGAGTTTTGTCACACTGTCAAAGTCATGTACATTTTCAGGTGGCCTTATGTACATTTCCAGATGTTAGATGAAGAAAACAAACTCATTTTTGGAAGCAGAATTGTGACTATGTATGATTAAACTGTTCTTCTAACATTTGACCAGCTTTGTTGTGGTTTTTCTTATGTTTGGGATCTAAAGGTGTTTTAGCAAATTCGATTGGGATTCTCTAATGCGTCTGAATTGGTGTCCAAGGTAAAGATAAGGTCGCTGTGCATGTTAGAATTTGAATCAAGGTTTATTCCCAGTGTAGTAGGCCCTATAATGAGTACTATGTACATCAACACTGCTTGACCAGATGCAATTACTTTGTTCCCAGAAAAGTGATTTTACAAAAGTCTTACTGCCTTGCCAAACTTTTAGTTTAGTTAAATGTTGTACAAATAAAACTTTCTCTCATTCTGAATTTTTAACAAGTGTTATTTAAATGTTAATGATGAGGCAAATGAATGTAGACCAGTGGTAAAAAGGAAAAGTGCACTCAAGTACTGTATTTAAGTACAATTGGCTGTGTTTTTTACATACAAACTGAAGTGTATACACATTTATAAAACAGGGCTTTGTTATAAACTAAACTATTCAAGCAAGTTTTAATTGATTGTATAAACATTTATGGAAAAGGTCCAAATTGAGTTGTGCAATACACTACATTTCGGTGGTAAATAATGTACGTTTTACACCACTACATGACTTCTATACTGTAGTTAGTTTTCAAATCAAGATGTTACATACAAAATGGATTATATATGAAATGCATGTGTGTGTTTGTGTGTATATAGTTTATTGGCTCCACCTTGACCTGCCACAACATTAAAATACATTAATGCATCAACAACGCTTGAAATTATATAACACAAAGAGGAATCTGTTTAAAAAATACATAAATTTTTCATTTTTGTGCTTGTATGTTTTGCAGTGCAGAACTTTTGCTCAATGGAGCTTTTTTCTTGTGGTATTTCTACTTTTAATAAAGTAAATGCTCTGAGTTTTTTTCCCTCCACCACATGCCTTCTGTAAATAGATAAACCTTAATCTATTATTTTTCCTGTTCCTTAAACAAGTGTAATTTAAACTGTAAGTGATCGTTAATATAATTTCTTGCAACTCAGTTTAGTACTTTTAATTTATTGAAGTTCTGTTTGCCTGTTACATTTGAATTGGTTTCAAGATGAAATTTTGTTTCTAGAATTTTGTTTTGACTAGTGTTGTCTTCAGCAGCCCTCTGTAATCACTGCTGCCACCTGAAGTTAACGCTTTTTTTTTCATTTTTGTTTTTCAAGTTTTATTGGTGGGCGGGGCTTCAGGCAGCCAGGCAGAGGCTAAAGGTTCCACAAGACACCTGTGAAGATCACGAGGGCAAATTAAAGTAGACACTAACTACATTGAAACATGGGGATATCTTTTACAGCCTCGCTCTTCTTGGCTTTGGGAATAATACATCCAGTTAATATGTTGGTAAGTCACTTTTTTTTTTTTTAATAAGAAACATTTTGAACTGATACGTCAGTCTTGTACTTTTTCTACTTCCTGAAGTTAAACGAAGGTTATCGTCACTGGACGAAATATCAAGGTGCTTTAATTTTACGACTTAATTGTTTATAGGGTTTTGAGTGTTGTTTATTATGAGAAATTTAATTTATAGTTTCATTCTTCTTTGCTACTATTTTATGTTTAACGCTCAGTAGAAATATTAGTCGCTCTCACAGGGGTTATTTTACTTACTTACTTTACAGTGTGTTTCAGCAGAGGACATCACTTCAAATGTGGTGGATTTTAGACTTATTACTGAAAACACCTAATGGTTTGGGGGCTATTTAGGGACAGAAAACTAATTACTTATCGATGTTATTGATATTTAATATTTCAGTCCATGTTGGCAGTAAGGGAAGTATTCAACTAGTTGAAATAGAAACAGCAAAATATAAAATATACTTCATTACAAGTAAAACTCATCAAAAGTACAAGTAGGCTACTAATTATGCAGAATGACCCTGTTTCCACTGTATTCCCATATAATTGGGCTATGTATATTATTTTGTTTTATTATTAAGGATGCATTAACATGTAAGTAGCATTTATATAAACTTATATTTCATTTAAGCTGCATAGTTTAATCTGTAACAATGCACCATATACTTACATCAGAGTGTGTGTAAAAATGTATAATCCACAAAGTAACTACAGTAGTAACTATAGCTGAATTAACCTAGTAGAGTAAAAATTACAATATTTTCAATGGTGGAAAAAGTACTTAAGTAAAAGTAGCAACCCCACAATGTAAAAACACTCAAACAAAACAAATAAAAGTCAAGTTAAAGTACAGATATGTTACAAGGAAAATGTAGTTAAAGTATCATTATGGTTTTGTATTAATTTATATTGTCTGCTATGTTGCAGAAGGGAGTTACAAATCTCAGTTTCACTATATAACCTGTTATATTGTGAAAAATAAATGTACCTACCCACCTACCAATTAGCATAATGATTATACATGGAAGTCACCCCATGATTGTTAAATTGAGGTGGAACTACTTGAAATACTATGTATAGGCATTACTGTTGAAAAGAAACATGTTTGAAGTAAAATCTTGATCCTCAAAGTAACGAACTACAGCTGTTAAATATGTCTAAACATAAAATAAATGTAGTGGAGAGGAAAGATTTACCTCTGAAATGCAGTAGAGTAGAAATATAAAGTTGCATAAAATGGAAATACTGAAAGCACAAGTAAATTACTTAAATACAATACTTAGTTACTTTCCACCCCTGTATTTTGGCCAGCTTGTAGGGTTTGGTACTATCGATTAGTCTGTCAGACTAACTGATAAATCTTTTCTTTAAATTGAAAGTTCACATCACTATTTTCCAGAGCCCAAAAGCTGCAGATATTCAGTTTATACTGAAGAGAAAAGCAGCAAATCCTCATAAAAGCTGGAATCAGAGAATATTTGGTGTTTTTGTTCATCTTGCACTCATGTCTGTGGTCAATGGGAGGAAACCGAAGCATCATGTTCTCTTGTACAAAAGTAACTTCTCAACACTCGCTGCACATGCTAAATGTAGAACTTAATATATTGGTCCATTAGGATCAATTATAAGCACAAACACAAGGTTTACTGTTACGCATTTGTACTGCCTGACAAATCTTTCAGCTGGGCAGAACACTCAGTATGGATGCAACCTAATAATATCCCCTGTTCCAGGAAGTACCTAAGGGCCATTTTATCTTCTGGCGGGGTTGTTTACAGTATAACTGACTGTTTTGAATGCACAGAGCCTTTAGTCTTGAGTAATCAGCAGCATTCCTTCACCGCGCTCCACCCAATCTATGGAGTATCATTTGGAGTATTCACCTCCTGTAGGCTTCAAAGGTAGTAAAGTATATTGGTTATGGTAGATACAGGCCATTTAGTCCCCATCAATGAGTTTAGCGTGTTAATATTCAGTTTAGTTTTCTTTTTAAATAGATGTGAACTGTAAATGCAACTTGATAGTGGAACATGGATCATGTTGAGCTGCTACAGGGCTGTTCTCACTGAAACTGTAAATACTAAACAATGAAAGTGTTGAGTCCAAATTGCTAACAAAAGACTTGCTTTGTCAAATGGGTGGAGTAATTTTACCATTTAATTCGAGCTATGTTTTCTACTCATTGCACCTTATTGGTGGTAACAATTGTGTTATTGTGTTACTTCAGTGGGACTCATTTCTTTATTGTCCTCTCAAGGAAAATACCTTTACACTTCCTTCACCTCTTGCCTGTTTTCACGTCTGATAACAAGACAGGAAGTGTTGTGGCGCAACAGTGGCCTGCAAATTAAAATATCCTCATTCCTTTTTCACTGTGAAATTAGTTTTCTGCCCTTCCTGAAGACATGGAGGGATCAGGATATGACCTGGACAGCTCCGGTTCAGGGGACTGGTCAGGCCAAGGTAATTCTGAGAACCATGCACAATGACTGCTGCTATGATCCAGTTAACATTGTATGCGTTGTTCATGTCATTGTTTCTTTTCAAACCCACACAGCCAATATATTCATGCTCTCTGTTTGCAGTCTTATCAGGTAACATCCAGGATGACCTCAGCAGCAAAGATGTTTTTCCAGCAAACACAGGACATGGAGCAAAGAATTCCTTCCATGTATGGCACATGACTTGTTTTCATGAGTCTCACTATTTCTTCACCTTATAATGTGGATGGCAGAGCAGGAGATAAACTTATGCAGCTGTTCCTTCTTTTGTCTTCAGGGTTCTCCGGTCCTGCCCTTTGACAGTGCACACTGGCCTGCAAAAGACAGCGGATCGGGATTTATTCTTTTGGAAAACAGCAAAGGTTTCCTGGGGAACAAAGATATTGTTGCAGGTACTTTGCCAAATGGTTAGGCTACACTGAATTTGACAGTGATACCCTGTGATTTGTATTCTATCTCTGTAATTTATGTTTATGTTTACAGGTGTTATTGCAGGAGGAGTATCAGGAGGGCTAATTGCAGCTGCACTGGTAGCAATACTAATCTACAAATGGCACAAGAAAAATGATGGAGGATATATTCTGGGCCAGCAGAGGGGTTGAGATGAAGATTATCACAAACCAAAAAGACAAGAAGTTGTTGTTTAACTGTCCACAAAAAAACATTGTTTGCTTTCTACAGCCATGCTGACTGTAAATTGCCCCCCCCCCCCCCCCCCCTTCTGGGCAGCATGGGCAATCAGCACTTTATGTAATGATCTGATGTTGTTCATTGACAGTTTATTTATATTTCTGCAATAAATATGAAGGATTCTCTTTAACATCTATTCAGTTGCTTATGCCTGATAAGACCTCTTCTCAGGGCAGTGTGAGGATGTACAGAAAACCCTTGAAAGCCCTTTTTCATGTAAGACATTTATGACATGTCCCGGTAAGAAAAGCGCAGGGGTGAATAATAAAATGAATGCTGGTTGAATTCCATTAAGCTGCTTCACTTTCAGATTGTACATGTTGGCTCTATGTCACTCTGCCGTGGCTTACTGGGACACTTGAATAGAACAGAGACATTTTTAATGGTAACACCCGTGCTTTTCCTACTATGACAAGTCAAAATGCTCTCTGCTGTAAAAGGCCTTTCAAAGCTGAATGATCTCTGTACTTCTAAAATCCTGGCTACAGCCCTGGTTGTACCAAAAATGTTTGATTCCCTTTGTTAAGTAGGGAAACCTCAGCGTTATCCCCAATTACATGTAGATAAATAATCTATGTTATATGAATGAACTCATTCAAGGGTGTATATAAAGTGTAAGTGACAATGATTAGGTAATGATGATCAGCTGCTATGTAATGTTATTTTGTTATGTGCCATGAAATTATAGTATTTTTGTAATTGTGATTAAATAACCTTTATAACCAGTTTATCCTCAGTCCATTTTTTATGCTTTATGAGCAAATATTGAACTAACTGTTGATGACAGTGATAACATGTGTAAATAGTTTATTATCTATTATCAGAGCTACATCAACTCAACAGGGGCCCAAGGGCAAGAATGAGCTCCAGGCCCCCCACTCTCTCAGCCTGTTGTTTCTCCCGCTCTTTGTGCATTGTGTTGTATGTCTAATGAGGTAAAATGATTAAGTGCAATGCTAATTGATAAAATGCACCATCTAAGCACAATGTAAAGTTAAATAATAAAAAAATGGCTTTTAGCTCATGGCATTTCCAAATTTAAGAAGGCAAAATTCCCGTGCCAAGTTCTTGTCAGCTTTTACAGAGGAGCAATAGAAAACATCCTGACTGAAAACATCACCAACTGGCATGGGATTAAAACTGCTATGAAGATCATTGGTACCTGTCTCCCAATTATCAGTGATATCGGTGAGGTCAGATGCTTACGGAGGCTTATGCAGAGCCCAAAAGATATTAGACTGTACCCACACCAGCCAGAGTCTGTTCACCCTGCTGCCTTCAGATAAGATAGGAGTGTCTTTTAAACTCAAATTCATCCTCAGCAGTGCTTCATTGAATTTAGTTTATTTATTTATATACTGAATAAGGGAGTTCCAAACTAAATTTCACTTTACAACCCGTTTTAATGTGGCAAATAAATCAACCTCAAGGGGCCTCAAGATTAGGTCAATTATGTAAATATTGCCTTATAATTTGCTTTACAGCAGTGGTGGTACAGTATCAAACAAGTAAATTTGCAAATAATTGAATTACTGAAAGTTAATTGCCCCACTATAAACATGGGGCTTCCGGGACCCCTGAAGATCTGAGACCCTGGTGCAATTCAAAGCTATTAAGTGGAGTATTTTGGGGGAGGATACCTTTTCTATTTATTGAGGAATTTTGTCTAGCTTGAAAAGGACTGAAGCATTTTGGGTGTGCTTGTAATTTCTTCACGGCCATTGGTTCAGACACCTGTCCCTCAACGTCAAGTCTCTTGTCCCCGCCTTTTCCGCCACGTCAGAGCGTTTGTTTTTATCCGCGGTGTCGCGCAGGCCGACAGGGAAGTGGTAGGCGTTCCTCAGTGTTGCTTCGCTGACTGTTGATGCTGTGAAGATTTTTCTCCTTCACGACCAGCTCTTCCGATGTTTCTTCCTACACTTGTGGAGGACATGCATCATTTTAAGCCTAGTCGAGACAGACTGTACACCACCAGGTGTTGTGGATGTTGCCATGTCCGGACGGGGACCATCATCCTGGGTACATGGTACATGGTACGTAAAATGGTTGATGGGGGGGACGAGCTAACATTAGCTAGCTGTGCTATTAATTGTGGTAAGTTCGCTAAAGTAGCAAGTTACATAATGAATGTCAACCAGACACAGCGACTTCTGAGAATGTACTTATTATTATTATTATTATTATTATTATTATATTATTATTATTATTATTATTTTGTCTAATGTTAGCTAGTTGTCAGTTTTGTCTCCGTTGCATGGTTACACGACGAGTTAACCTATCAGAAAGCTAGCGTTAGCAATAGCCTGCTATCATTTTTGGTTTCATTAGCTGAGTGTTTCTGTCGATACAACTCGCCCAACCTTGAAAATGCGGCTACAAAACTGATATAAAAACCATGTCACATGAACCTGGGTAGGATCTGAAGGTTTAAAACATGTAACATTTGTGACTTAATGGCATGTAAGTTAGCGCTACAACCGACGTTCCGTAGACCTGCTAACATAACGGTTGTCAGATCAAGCTCGAATAACTTATAACGTTAAAGGATCGCAGTAACACGATTTGCTAAAAAGCGACGCATCTTTAAACCTTTTTTATGTTGTGTAATGTAATTTAGATTATACATGTAGTGAAAATTAAGGAAGTGTATTTCATAGGCACGCTGCATTAGCTAACGTTAACTGTTTGTTAAAGTTGCTCTCTAAACATTTCTTTCACTCTCATTCAACTCTCAGCTGAATGGTTTCAACACCTCATATAAGACATTTTTCTGTTTTTGATTGCATTTTGAAATGCTTTGAGTGCAGTCTTGACAAAAGCTGATATAAAACACGTGAGCTATGTTCCTCTATTTCCAGGAAAGCAAATTTAAAAGTGGTGATGATGTGCATGGTGCCAACAGGCGAGATCACAAAACATACATCTTCAAATAAAATGACAAAAGCCCTTGGATATGCAGCCTAAAGTGTTGGCATTAAAAAAAAAAAAAACTTTTGACATTGTAGTTATTCTTGTGAATATTTTATTAATTTTATTTGTGCATTTGTTACTTTGTTTTGAAGGACTGATCTTGAGAAATTGTCCCTTGCACCAATGACACTAACGCCATAGTGGGTGGGTATTAACATTGTGAATGTGCAGTTGAATGACAAAGTCTCTCTTAAGTGTCTAAGACAGTTGCAAAGAAAACAACAACTAAACACAATTCCTGGGAAGCAAACAAAAAAATCCAGTACACTGTTTATCTCTTGTACTTACTTTATTTACAGTATTTCAGGAAACGTTTGTCAAACCTGAAACATGCTGTGAAACAGAAAGTCCAACCTGGACAACACAATTGTTGAAAGATAATACTACAGTACTAATCATGGTACCTGATGGTCAGACAGGTGAGACTTCTTTCCCGTACGCCAAGTCTACCTTTACTGGTTTAGGGTTGTGATAAAAGTTCACCCAGTTGTACCAGTTAGATAATTGATGCTTTCCCAACACCCTCCTTGAAATTGTCAGAACACAAACAGTTAAACACAAGTGGCCTGCCACTACACAAGACTTGTCTGCAGTTCAATCAGTAGGTAGGTACATTTATTTGTCACAATATAACAAGTTGTATAGTTAAATTGAGTTTTGTAACTCCCTCCTGCTACAAAGCAGACAATATACATTAATACAGAAGCAATTATACAAATGGTAAATGGAAATAAACTGTGATCAATGGAGCAGTGCTGAGGATGAATTTGAGCTTAAGTCTGATAGCTTAGTGGGAAAAGCTTCTCTGCAGTCTGGTAGTGCAGCAGCTGAAACTTCTATGTCTCTTCTCAGAAGGCAGAAAGGTGAAAAGGCTGTGGCGGGTAATTCTTTGCAGAAGTCTCAGTTTTGTTCGATGGTGGTGTTGATGTACAACCTGATAAAAATGTTTTGTTTTGTTGAGGTCATTCTTGGTTGTTGGGTGTTTTTAGTTCCTCTTCTCAGAAGCATAGCATTTTGATGAAAGCCTTGTCCCACTGAGTATATCATGTCAAATTCAAATAACAAACATTTTTCATAGCATAGTCAGCCAATTTATCAGAGCCGATATCTGGCCTTTTGAGATAATCCGCATCGGCTGATACCTTAACTCACGAGGCCTACAAACAAACAAAAAAAAACATTATATATAAGCCATCGGCAGCCCTGCTCTCTAAATATCACCAACGGCCATTGAAAAACACATCAGTGAACCACTAGCATATATGATGTTTCTACGCTCCAGTTAACCATAACTTTCAGTCCATGCCACTATGTGTAATTTCTTTTTCACTATTATTAGTCCTCATGACTCCATTCCCACATGATGATAAAGAAATCTTGCCAAAAAGGGTGATTGTTTGCTATTTGCTGTAATATTGCTTATCTCAATCATGTCTCTGCAAGTTGATTTTCCTATAATATTGACATGAACTGAAACTGATGGCTGCCTGTAAGGGAGGATTTCAATCCGAAACATCTTCCAAACAATATTTGGCAAATGTTGTTGTTAATTTAGTAAAGGATTCCTTAAGTAATGTGCTAAGACAAGCAAAAGTAGGTCTAAAGTCCTTTTTTATTTTTTTCCTTTCTCCCCTCAGGTAGTGAACCTGTTAATGGGCATCCTGCTGACTGTAGCAGTGACCCACCCAGAGAACGTGCCCACCATTGACTTGCAGTATGAGGTCATCGACCATTACTTTGCCTCTGACAGGATGTCTGGTAAGTACTTAAATCACTGAAAAGAAACTACTGTAAGGGCGAACAAACTGCATTATAAAAATATTGAAATGGGTTATATTTAGATTATCAAGCAGTTACACATCAACACATGCATAATGGTGGGCCTTTTAATTCCATGTTGAAACATGACTGAATAAATATTCTGTGCATGGGATTTAGAAGTGTGTAGCTGCTTTTTTCACTAAGCCATGCGCTGCTGTTATGCTGAGGTTGACTTGTGATTCATCTTCCACAGGGAGCACAACTCCCCACTGACTGCAAAACTAAACAACTCATGAGGACAACAGAACACTGCTGTGCTGTGTAGATGTTGTTTGAAAATGTTGTTATTGGTGTTGCGTCACTGGTATTGTTCCTTTTGTATTTCCTGAAGGATTAATCTTTGTGCTAGTTATTTGTTTTTATGTGTGCCAGGGCTGGCAGGACTATCAAGAGTGGCCTTTCTTTCTAGCTGGCGGTTGATTTGTTAGTTGGCATGGTGAAGGCCTCTCCATTTTTCTGAAACAGTGACTCAGCGGGAGACGAGGGGAAACAACCGTGGTGGGTTGACCTTCCCACAGCAAGCTCATGCCAGCACAGAGAGCGGTGGAGGTTGTCCATGCCTGCGGAGGCAACGTTAGCATGTTAGTGCAGCTTCATCAGGCTGCACTCATTTAATTCCACATTTCAGGCCATGTTTAAAAGCTGTTAAACTGATAAAGAGTGGAACATGGTATTTGTCAAATGTTAATTACAGTTAACTGTTTTATCTTATGTCAAAGTAAACAGAATATCTTTGGGGTTGGGACTTTTGAATTGGACAGAACGCGCACTTTGAAGAGGTCACATATAGCTTAAGAAACCTGTAATTTAAGGTTTTTGTATATTTTATAGACCAATGATGGCATATTTGAGTAAATTTAGCAGATTTATTTAGAAGAAAAGAAGAGGAGGCTGTGAGTAGACTGTGTTTTAGAACTGCTCACTTTTTGTGGACATTTGATGTGAAATAGCATTTCCTTGACACACCCTGTCCAATCATAAACCTAAAACTAAATATAGATAGAACAACACACTGATGTGCATCCATTAAATAGAACAGTTTAGACCTGATCCATAAAGATTCAACATTGTTTTACACACAATTAAAATATTATTTTCATAAACTCCAACATACAGGCCCTTTTTCATATTCATAATTTGATGAATACCAGAGCTTCAGCCTAGCCATTTTGTTTTCATTAACTTAAAGTTGAGCTCTTGACAGATAGTTTCATACACAAGTTGATCTGTTGAATATGGACCATATGGAAGTCAGGCAAAGTATGTCTACTGTATATATTTTAAGTTGTTACAGTATTAAATTGAAATATAATAAAACAGGTGATCAATCATAAAACATATTTGGACCGCTTCGCTGCAGAAGCTATCACAAGCACAATTTCTCCAGTGCAACAGGCAGAACAGTTTGAGGAACCGAGAGACTGAGAGAAAAGAGGAAATGAAAGGCAGGCCTTTTAATTATCCCAGACTGAGTTTCATTGAGTCTTTACCGACACTACGCAGCTGAGAGGCAGAGGTTTAATGCTCCCCAGAGCACCGCTGCTTCAAAGAGAACAGGCAAATATACATTAATTCACACTGATAAATACATTAACGGTTAAGGTTAAAGTTAAAGTTCAACTAAAATAAATCTTTGCCTGCATTTGGTCACTTTATTTACTCTCACTTTTTCTCATACAGAGAATGCCTGTGTTGGATTTGCCATCTCTCTGCTGATGCTCACTATCAGTGCCATGATGGTGTATGGAGCCATTACTGTAAGTGTGCACAGTGGATATAGTGCTTTTTAAAAATGATTATCTTGACAGCATGGGCTTTATTTAAAGCACTGTCATGGGTTCTTATGCAAATATGTAATCCCAGAATGTGCATCCATAAAAAAATAAAAAAAACCATTGCTTTCAAGTTGTATCATATCGGCACCAGCAAGACAAACCAAGAAATACCAAAGCACCGTCCCCTGTTTGTTTTTGTTTTTTACCACAGTATATTTTATCTGGATGTTCAAAAGAATCCTGATGCAGTGAGAGTGTAGTGTGCAATGCTATGGTCTCACTGCCTGTCATCTTTACCTCACAGGCCTGCCTGATGGCCTCAAGACTGACAGGTTTGATAGCCTTTTGACCCGGCCCTGCATTAAGCTGCTAGTTGATGATGGATGACTGCACAGTTAAAGTATGACACACATCTGCGGGCTGGGTGCATTGTGCATGTCGGCAGTCTGCCGCAAAAGTTATGCTTTAGCTGTGCAAGTACATGCTCCCAGACAACAGTAGTAGATTCCCTTTTTCCAATACAGTATAGTGGTGCAGTGACGCCGTAGTGTCCCAATGAAATACCCTAAATGTTGATGATAATATACAATATAATATATAGATATTCAGTACTTTTAGCTTTTGGAAGATAGGGCTGGGCGATATGGCCAAAACTGTTAACATATAAAAATGTTTTTCATATAATTCGATATGAATAATTATCACGATAAATGTCAAATCATTATTTCTTTAAAGTTTAAAGGAAAAATCTATTTTTTACAAAATGCAAGAGTCCCTTTTCCTTAACAAAATTAACATCTTAAAAGAAAAAATAAGTGCTAATTTGTTTGTAATTCAAATGAATTAAAGCAACCATTTATTGAACATTTGTTATATTGTTATTGAGGAAAACTATATCGCGATAATTATCATTATTGTTTTATTGTCCAGCCCTATTGGTAGAAAAGACACCCAGAACGGACGTAGGGATTCTTGTGAATTGACTCAAATTAAAGGACGACATTTCTGATTTTCAACCTTCTCCAGGTATTTGTTACAGTAATGTCTGATGATTTAGTCACAGCCTGAGCAGAAGTAAAAAATGTTTTCAAACAAGGAAAAATGGAAGTTTACACATTTAAACCAAGAAAATCAAGGTTAGAATTTTAAACTTGGAACACTAATGTTAGACTTTAAAACAATGGAAACTATTGTATACTAAGTAGACTAGTGTCTCTGGTTGGTGTTCAGGCTGTGAATGCATCCTCCACTTTAGAGTTTGTAGAGGACCCTACCAACTTGATACAGATTTACAAGAATGATAATCTAAGACAAGTGTGGAAATAAGTCCTTGTACACACTGACCTCAAATTTTATCTTCCCAGTTGACGAGTTTGTTCATAACACGACTTTGTCTCCACTTGTTATCAGCATCGTGACGGCTGGCTCATCCCGTTTTTCTGCTACCAGCTGTTTGACTTTGCTCTGAGCTGCCTGGTGGCCATCAGTTCTCTCACCTACCTACCCAGGATCAAGGACTACCTGGACCAGCTGGTTAGTGCCAACTTTCTCACCAGTCCACAGTCTGACCATGTTCACATTAGGATAATCATGCTACCGCCCTCGTGCTTATCTTACCTCAGAGAATCCTGACAGCAGAATATGTTTTTTAAATTGTTAATTAAACCACAGCGTTTTCATTTTTACCAAATGTTACCAAAAAATACCAGAGTTTATGTAAAGCAGTGGTTCTCAAACTTTTTCACATGAAGGACCCCTAAACTGACACAACTTACACCACAGACCCCCATTTGATAAGATTTTGTCCCAGGGTCTTTTTGATATTTAGGGGTCCAAGCCCGAAGTGAGCTGGGAACCCGCGAAGGCAAGGCATTGCGGTTCCCAGTAAAGCGAAGCGGCTGGGAACCCTATTGTTTTCATTCTCATTTGTATTTTTTTTTATTCTTCCGTGCATAAAACTCATACTGCGGCCTAGACGGTAACTGCTAGGGACGCGAAACTCCTAGGGTAGGTCCAGTTCACTGCACGTAACTCGGGCGCAAAAATCCGCACACTTCTACCTCTAGGGGGCGCTATAAGCAAGGGCTAGGAACTTCCCTCCTACGAAGGCAGATATCAAAAACCTTATATCCACGCGTTTGGGGAATCGAGCTGAATCTCGTGGTATAGGCCACGCCCATTTCCGCCTAGACTTACATCGCGAAAACTGCAAAACCTATTTATATTAACTCCTCCGAAGCCGCAAGTACGATCGACACCTAACTTGGCATGGATAATCTCTGGACCAAGCTGATGAAAGTTTGTAGAGGAAATTTTGATCCGACAAAAAATGTTGCAATTATATGCTAGCAAACGCTTGCGAAAAACGTTACTAACAGGAAATTATGTCATATCTTCGCTTTGGAATGGCCGATCGACACCAAATTATAGCGTTAATGTGGCACGCCCCCCTGAGGGCCTGTGCAAAATTTGGTGCAACTCGCCCCTAGGGGGTGCTATCTAATCCAAGAAAATTGTTCCTCTATAACCACAAGTCACACTCACATGAAACCAGTGCCGAATTGTTCAGCATGGTCTCCTTACTACAGCAGGGTGTCCGCGGGGTCTTAAAAAGTCTTAAAAAGGATAAATCAATTTTGCGAAAATTAAGGCCATTAAAAAGACCGTAATTTCCCACCCCGCCGGACCCGCAATGTTAATCATCCAAAACATAGTCGGAGTGGCGATCAGGAGTAACGGGCTTAACCCGGTTGGCCAGTTGCTCTGTGGCCACTTTGAACACAAAGTGGCCACAGAGCGAGAAAAAACAAGAGCGAGATGCGCCGCCAGCAGCGGAATCGGAAGAGCGTGGGGTTTGGCTAACGTTAGCCGGCTATTTAGCTAAATCAGTGCCTTTTATTAAAACACATTAAGCCTTTCATAAAGCCGATGCTCTCGTCAGTCTCACTTTTTGTGAACAGATCAATCACAGCCTGGATAGAGCGTGCTGCAACAAACTATATAAATGTTCTTAATCTTCTTAAACGGTTATGATTATTGACAAGTTAGTAGCCTGCCCAAAATCAAGGTTGGAGACTATCATGTAGCCTAGAGCATTTTTCTTGCACGAAGTTAATGAATGAAAAACAACCCCAAACTGAAACAGCTGTAATTTGAATTAATATTATACTAGTGCAAGTTATATACTATTATATGAAATTATATTGAATATAGTAACATAATGAATATATTAATATCAAACTTAAAGTTTACTATTAAATTAACAATATACTTTTAGTTTAATGTTAATGCCCCCCCCTCCGCGGGGCCGGGGGGGGCAGCTTGCGCCAGGAGGCTTGGACCCTGCTTATAACTGCTTGCAGTTCTAGTTTGTTGTAAGAAAAATAGAAAGTGTATAAAAACCCAAATAATCATACTTTCTGTCATTGTGTGACTTATGGATGTAATTATAGTGAAAATTAATGATTTTGCTGGGGACACCCTGGAGATCCTGAAGGACCCCTGAGGGTCCCTGGACCCCACTTTGAGAATCACTGATGTAAAGGAGCAAAGTTATTCTAATATTAATGTCAGTCATATGACTGTACAACAGTTTGTTGTGTCCACCTTCAAGAGGAAACATTTTAGAATACAATTCTCCTAGAAACTGAGGAGAACGGGAGATGGGGAAAGCAAATGAGCTGCTGTCAAGTCCGTGTCCCTTAAAGTAGTTAGGAGAACTAATCGGATAAGCTAGTCTGTTTGCACTACATTGCATTATGTTTTGTGTAAAAATCTCACAGAAAACATAAAGTACATGATCTACTATTTTTTTTTAAATATAGTCCCTCCCCAACATTTTGCTGCGAGAGATCATTAAGGTTTTTTTTCTGCAGCGTTGATAGTTCTGTGAGTTGAATAAGTAAGAAGGGGTGTTATAGATTATCTGACGTTCTGTCGGTTCTTTTCTTCCTCAGCCGGATTTCCCGTATAAAGACAACCTCCTCTCTCTGGACTCCAGCTGTCTGCTGCTCTTTGTACTGGTCTTCTTTGCCTTTCTCATCATCCTCAAGGTAAAATTCACAGTAAAACCTGGTTTATTCAGTGTGTTGGTTAATTGATGTCCCTCTAAAGTAAAATAAATCTAATGTGATCAGAGAAGAGCTCTTTTTACATGGGTCTGTCCTATTTTTATGTCTTCTTGTCTTCTTTTAAGTGGAAAAAAGACACTGGTTTAACGAGCTGTTTACTGACTGTCACACAGCCTGAATAAACCATAAAACTCTCTGTTCTAGTCTTACTTGATCAACTGTGTGTGGAACTGCTACAAGTACATCAACAACAGGAACATGCCAGAGATTGCTGTCTACCCTGCCTTTGAGACCCCTCCCCAGGTATTCAAGCTGCCTCAGACACTCTCTGATTGACCGTTACAGGTTTTATGAGTAGTATCGACTCACAAAAACACACCTGATGCTGTCTATCAGATGCCGAAACATGTAATGCTGAAGTTTAGCCAACAGGTGGTGTCCCATCCACACACTGACAGTCTGAAAAAACAAAACTGGACAAGTGTTGAATAAGTATCTGTTAAGTATTTACTATGTCAGGGGGGAAAAACAGTTAGCAGCTAAATGAAGAAAGATTCATAATACACTATTTAAGGCTCATCATTTCCAGGTTTAACCAATTTTCACAAGAAAAATATTAATTTAATCTTTAAAATAGAGATGCACCGAAAGCAATTTTCTCGGCCGATTCCAATTCTTTGAAAGTCTGACCCACAGAATATGATTTTCTTTCTTGTTTGTAACATATCCGCTGTGTCCAATATTTCAAATAGCGAGATTTGGCTCGTCTTTAATCACGGTGAAGAACTTCCATGCAGATTTTCTGCACAGTGACTCTAACCAGACTTTGTTTTATTTCCTCTTTCTTCTCTAGTACATCCTGCCCACTTACGAGATGGCAATGAAGATGCCAGAGAAGGAACCACCTCCCCCTTACATGCCTGCTTAAGCACCAGCCCTGTTGCCAAAACACACAAACATACATGCACACATACGCACGCGCGCACACACACACACACACACACCACCATATGCATTCCTACCTTCCTTCACTAACCCTTTCTGAACACCATTACGCCCTTACACCCCCCCCTCCCCACATGACCAACTGTGTTATGTGTAAGGCCACTGAAAATGTTTTGTTTAACCTTACCCACTGTATTTCTACAGAGTGTCTATATATCCTGGAGGTGTGAGAGGAGAAAGGTGGGAAAGACTGTGAAATGACTGAATGAATGGAATGTTTAAAAGGCAACGGAAGCTACCAGCCCTCCCCTCCTGGCCTTTTTTATGTCTTAGTGAAAGGGATATATGTGAAAATTTAATTGCTTGAAATGCTATCATCAATCCAGCACCATCCTATCTATAAATTGATATATAAAGTGTGGGAAAAAAAACTATTATGACAATCCGCTTATTATAGCCCTTATTGTTGAATTGTGTTTCTTTACCCTCTAATTGTTAACATATAGACTATTCCAACTCAGTCTTGAATGGCGTCTGTAGCACTTCTTTTTGTCTGTTATTTATTTAGCTTTGCTGTGGTTCAGTTCACCGCCACCCCTGACGATTTGTTCACTCTCTGCTATCCTGATGTGTTAGCAAAGCTAGTGAATAGACTGAGAGACAGCAGAGGGCACACATGATGGATCATTTCCTCTGCTTCTTTCTCACCTGACATCTGGAGCAAACTTGCTAGTCGTGTGAACGTTAGTAGTTGCATGCTTATCGGCAACCCCCACCCCCCATTACTTTACTGGTAATATGATTTTATCCTTGTGGAAAAAGCATTTGACTTCATTAAACGTTTCAGACCATTGATATCGTCATGTTTTTTTGTTCATGTCAGGTATGCTGAAGTAAAGTCAAAAGAGAGGTTAATAGCGAAAGGGCTGTCGGTATGAGAAAAACAATCTCCCATCAAGCTCAAACAGCTGTTCTGGAGCTTTTCAATTATATCACATGATGTTCATCTGCATTTTAGCCATGTAGGCTGAAAAGTAGCTGTTAGGGATACTAAATGGATCTTGAAATTGTTAACTGAATTATAATAAATTGTCAACTGCTGGTTCTGAGGTCGGGAATAAATTTTGAAACTGTATGATTTCATTCAGAAATGAGAATGAAAACGTTTATCACGGAGCACTTTCAACACAGTAAAGTATGTGGAGAGATTTGAGAGGGTTTGCTTTATTGTGTTAGGTGCGTGTAGCCATGTTTAAACAGTCAATAGGAAGAAATTCCCCAAACACTGTCTAAAGAAGAAGCTCTTCCATTGCAAATAATCTATATATATATAATCTAATCTATAACCTGTGCAAAAAGTAACAAGATGTGATGTTGTTTTTCTTTTACAAGCTCCACACTGGTTGGTGAATTACAATCTTTAGATCATTTTAAATCGTTATTCTGTCACAACATTTGGTATTCACCAAGACCAGATGTTGCTTAAAGAAGACTGACTTCACTTCTTAAAGCCTAAAAATTCTTGTGGTAACGTCTGTTGGGCCTGTAATCTCAAATGTTTTCCAAAGTGTAGCCTCCTCAGACAGATAATTAACCTGCCAGGGACATGAAAGGTACTGGGTTCAACTAAAATTGCCACTCATGTTGCAAAGCGGAGAGGGGAATAAAACACCTTTTGTGTTGCTTAAATACTTAATACTTTCCCCGCGACCCTGTCCGCAGGATACGCGGTTGACGATGGATGGAAATACTTAACTTTTCGATAATGACTTAAATGATGAAGTACAAGATCAGCGTGTTGCTCTAACAACTTAAATCACCTTTTAGCCACCTATGGCAAACACGGATAAAACTGTCACTGAGGATGGGGCTGTGTCCTCCGTATTTTATTTATTTATGTAGTGAATTTGGGGGTTTATAGCTTCTTGGGACATTCTGTGATTTCAAAATATTATATTATAAAAAATATAGTTTCTAAGCTGATTTCAGTAGCCTATGTTTGGACGTAATATTTTTTAATTGAACTACTTTAACCAACTTTGATACCACAAAATCTTAAAATTAATTGGAGAAACTGTAAAATCCTCTATAAGGCCCTGAATCAAATTGGATTTATATACATTTATCGATATAATCCGGACTGTTGTCTCCTGCTGTGAGGTCATGTCCCACCTTTGGATTGGACAGACGGTTTGACGTGTTAGACTGAGAGCCCCTCATATGCGTGGAGGCAGTCAGAACCCCAGCTGAGCCGAGCAGGACCCTCTGAGACTGAGAGCAGGCACCGGACAGACCACCGGAGGAGTCTGCATGCAGGTATGAAGTCTTTACGCTGGAGTCTCTGGTGCTGCGCCTCACTGCTGCTCTCTGATGTACTAGCCACATACCACCTCAGTGCGGGGGAGCATCAGCTGATAGCCGCACAAAGCTACGCACAAACCAGAAATAATGGCCGACCCCCGATCCGGACCCTGAATCCAGCAAGTAAGTTTTACTGACACTGGTATTCCAAAATAGTGTTACTTTTTCCAAAAGGCAGTTTTAGTTGGTAGGCCACTTTCTGGCAGTGGTGGGAGAAGTATATTTTTATTTTTGTGAAGTAAACAACAGTGTAAAAGAACCACTGATGGAAAGTAATTACATTTACTCAAGCCTGCAATAAGTAGCCTACAGGTTTGAGGTATTTGTACAGTGGTCTACTTTATATTTTTATGTCACTACATTTCATTATTTATATATATATACCTTACCTATATATATAATTTGTCACTCACGTTACATACGTTTAGCTGATAATACTTTTTACTTTTTATTAAGTATGATTTTGAATGCAAGACCTTTACTTGCAATGGAGTATTTTTACATTGTTATATTGCTCCTTTAAGAACAAGAACTGCCACTGAAAAACACTATCACAAATAAATGAATTACATTTTTTGCTTAAATACTGAAGTACAAGAAGTATTATTAGCAAATACAAAGTACTTATTTATGCAGAAAGATAGTCCTGATAAGTGTTATACTATTATACAGTAAAAGGATTATTTGCCGTATGTGTAAGCAGCCTTTTGACATAGTATTCAAGTCACATCTTTATATACTGTTTGGTAGTTTAAACTAAGACAATGTATTGTAAGCTCAACGTTCGTTGGTTTTGTGTGTAAAATGTTACTATGGTAATATACATATTATGTAATTAGTAATAACTATAATAAATGTAGTGGAGTAAAAGTATAAAATGGAAGTGCTAAAATGAAGTAAAAGTACCTTAAAACTGCTTATCGTACTTGAGTAAATGTTAATGTTAATAACATTCCACCGCTGCTTTCTAGCTACTTCAGACTTTTTGAATCTTACAAATCTTTGCAAATTGTTTTGTAATGTAAATCTTTAATTCTTGCGTAATTTTAGTAAATGGTAAATAAGAAAGTTAAGGCCTGGGAAAAGGAGATATTTCAAGTGTTTAATCTAACCAGTAGAATACAGGATTTTTTTTACACTTTTCCCAAAACACAACATGCATGAAATTCTCGACTGGGTGTTTCACAAGCTCTACATGGGATAATCCCAGCTTGTTACAAACGACCCATATGGCTGAAATTATACTCATGCTTCAACTAATAATTTGTCTGTGCTCTCAAGAGAGCAACAGTTGTTATATATTTCACTACAACTTACTTTACAATGTCAACTTACACAACTTTTCTGTTTACCGACTTTCAACCTACTAATGTTCTCACTTTTCCTTTCTGGTGGCCCTGTAGTTCACAGAAGTGAATACACGTATAGAGGAGGGTATCACAACCACTACCAACCACCAAGGATTCCTCCACCGGTAGTGTATCGACCTATCCCTCTATCTCCCCCAGTGACTTACCACAGACCCTTTGTCCCCATGCCGCCCTATCACCACAGATTTAAAGGGCCAGTGGCACCACATATGCACCACATATACAAAGGTCTATCTCCACCGGTAGCTCACCATCCCCATCAAAGGTTCAATAGCCCATTCCATTACAAAATGAAAGGTCCATGCCCAACAAAGTCAGACCCAACAGTACCAACGCCACCAGTCGTACACGTCCCTACCACACTCCCAACTGTACCAGAATCAACAGTGCCGCCAACTCTGCCAGCAACTACAATGGCACCGGCAACAACCACCCTGCAAGTGGTGGTGACCACTGTGCCACCAGTGGAGACCACAGCCCCTGTGACGCTACCGGTCAGTACCCAAAGCGGCTTCATCACAACCATCAGTCCTGTGGAGACAGGTAGAATATTACCAGTCAGGTTTGCTTTCCAATCCAACCAATGCTCCTCAATGCTTTCCAGGTCAGATCTGTTTGTTCCACCACTTCAAGCAGATGTAATTTTATTTAAAGGAATAAATCGACATTTTGTAAAATAGACTTATTCTCTTTCCTGCTGAGAGTGAGATGAGAAGATCGATGCCACTCTCATGTCTGTCTGTTATAAAGCTGCTGCCAGTCAGGATGTTAGCTTAGCATAAAGATTCAAGATTTCTTTATTGTCATTCCACAGTACACTGTAGAACGAAATTACGAGCAAAGTTCAGAGATTAAAAACAACAACAAAAACGGAACAATCAAAAACACCATAGGAATATGAGATGTTAGATGTATTAAAAAATGCTTTTATGGGCGTGCGGAGAATGTAGAGTGTTAAATATAAATATAGGAAAAGAGTGGAACCGGGGAGAAACCGCTAGCCTGACTCTTTCCAGAGGTAACAAAGTTTAGCCTGTAAAACTCACAAATGAATGGAAATGCTGCCTTTATATCAGGCATTCAAGCATCACATTCAAAACATTTTTTATGAGGAATGTAATTGTTTTAAATTGTCAGGTTTCGATCTCTCTCATGATTCTCAGGTCTTGTTTTGTAAGCTTTCTAAACAGACTGAATTACCAGTTTGTTGTCATACTTTATGGACAGCTAAAAAAGGCCACCCTGAAATGTGCATTTGAAGTTTGAAACATTGTCTTTTTTATAAAAGCAGAGTCAATATTTTTGCTTTGAAAAAGGATCTGACGCTAAACTGCAGAAATGTAGTTTAGTATGTGTGTATGTGATTTGACAGGCAGGCAGGGCTCCTAACATTGTCCCCATCTTTAGGTGTTACTTCACTTTTATGTGTGGGCATCAAGCTTTCTTTTCATTTGGGAAAATGAAATAAAAGGATAATTGCTATGATACGTGTCTGATGGACTGTTGGACCACTGAAATGATACAGTATGTTTTATGGCATACTATATCATTTCACCAAAACCACAACCTTTTATTGTTCCTCTGCAGTGATGCACAACAGTTTCCTTTTGTTAACATTAGAACGCGTGCATCCCAAAGTGTCTTGTGTTTTGTTCTTGATTGTTAACTTTGTGGCAGTTTAACCAACAAGCTTGACATTTTCGCTGAATAATGAACTGAGTTTTTAGTATTAAATGGATTTAATCCTCTGGTTGATCACCAGAGACAGACTCTCAGTGCAGGAGCCGTCCCCTGGATCTGGTCTTCATCATTGACAGCTCTCGCAGCGTGCGTCCTGGTGAGTTTGAGAAGGTGAAAATATTCCTGGCTGACATGGTCGACACGTTGGACGTGGGCACAGACGCCACCAGAGTGGCTGTGGTCAACTATGCCAGCAAGGTCAAGATCGAGTTCCAGCTCAAAGACCACATCAACAAACTCAACATAAAGAAAGCCATCTCCCGCATCGATCCCTTGGCCTCCGGCACCATGACAGGCCTCGCCATCAAGAGTGCAATGAATGAAGCCTTCACCGAGCAGTCTGGAGCCCGACCTCGCTCCAGGAACATCTCCAAGGTGGCCATCATTGTGACAGACGGTAGACCTCAAGACCAGGTGGAGGAAGTGTCTGCTGCAGCTCGGGCCGCAGGCATTGAGATCTACGCTGTTGGGGTGGACCGTGCCGACATGCGCTCCCTGCAACTGATGGCAAGCATCCCTTTGGAGGACCACGTCTTCTATGTGGAGACCTACGGCGTTATCGAGAAGCTCACCTCCAAGTTCAGGGAGACCCTGTGCGGTAGGACAAAGAGACCTGCGAGACATTCTTCCCACCATTAACCCTGGTTCTAGTTCCAAAGTAAGGGGCACCTACAGTCCACATGGGGTGTTTTTGCAGATTGTGGATCATGTGTTATTGGTGAATTATAAACTCTGAAAAGGCCAGATGCTCTCAACCCCCACATGGACTGCAGATGTTGGCGCTAGAACCTGCTTGTAGTCGCAAAGTTATACCCGAGTAAAGTCTTGGGGCCTTGAAGCCCTAAACTTTCAGCTTCTTTTTTTAAAAGCAAAAAATGTTTTTGGGGATCATTAGTCATTTGTTTTGCAAGCAAAGCATCATTATGGTGATTGCTTTGAAAGTATCCCTTTTTATTCGTAATGATTTAAATGTGCAATAGAACCTCACTTTTTCAAATCAATCTGGAAAAGAAGGCGTCCAGATTAATGCAATAAGGACGAAAATACACATTCTAATAAAACAACCTGCGCATTTTACACTGGTCAAAACACATAACACACGTCTGTCTACATGGACATTGATTCCAAAAACTCTGCTGGTGCAATGTGTGAAAATGTCCATCTGAATTACAGATTTCCAGAGATTTAGCCGTCCAAGAACTTCAAAGATTTGGAGAAATGAGGTTCTGCTGTAAACTTGAATAGTTTTCATGTTTACTCATGAAATAGTTTGTACATGTAATTGCCACTGTAATTCAGGGTCCTGTGATTTTAAATGTGTTGTCCAACACACAGTGAACCTAAGCAGGTAGCTTAGACCTTGGCTGAGATGTGGTGAAGGTGTGTGAAAGGACCAAGTTTTCCACCGCAAGTGACATGTGGTCAAGAACAAACACCTGAGAAAAGATTTCAAACATCATTATTTGAACTTGTACAAGCAAAAAATAAATTATAAATTGAATCAAAAACAACTGTAAGCGGTAAAAAAAATTTGGATTTGCAATCTGCAGAGCATTACCTTGCCCATCACATGCTACCTACCTATAAATATACTGTATTGTAGCAAATGAAACTGTATCCATGCTGCTATTTTGACACTGCCATCCCCTAATCCTGGTTTACACTAGGTCTGGACCCCTGTGCCATTGGACATGAGTGCGAACACATATGTGTCAACAGCAACGCCTCCTATTACTGCAAGTGCAGGAACGGTTATATCTTGAATGCTGACACGAAAACATGTTCCCTGAAACGTAAGAACATACTGTAGCAAATGTGACTTTGTTTGCTGTGATATTAATGCTGCTCAAGTGCCAAAAAAATATATGTGTAAAAGCTTTAAAAGTAGTGTGCGGTCTGTGTTTAGCTTCTAAGCAGGGCTTCATCAGCATGACAACCAACTGGTGACTCTGTAATTGAGTGTTGACTGTAGCATTTGTTTAACTGATTCCCTATAATTGTATTGTAATATTGTTGTGGCAATATGGCGTTGGTAAATTACTACAGTAGAATGTCTTGGAAAATGTGTTTCTATTCATGCTTTACTTGTTCTTGAACAGCAGCCTAGTTGGAAAAAAGTAGAGTGGGTGGGATTCTGTGTGCTTTTTCACTCTCTGTTACACTGATGTGAAATTTGCTTTCTCCCAATAAAGAGGTGAAGGTGGAGGTGGTGGAGGATCCTTGTAAATGTGAAGCCAGGCTGGTTTTCCAGAAGCAGACACAGGCCGCCATCCAGGAGCTCACAGCCAAGCATATCCTTCCTGTTGTTTCAGATGGAAGTCATCTTGTTATAAACATTCTCTGTAACACATTTCACTGAGGGGAAAGCTGCTTATTTCTACCTGCTGGCACTGTTATTGGAATATAACTTAACAGTGTGTCTTGTATATGTTTAAGAGAGCGATATGACCGCCATTTCTCATTCTGTTTCCATCTTTCACTTGCGCCTGTAAATGTGTTTGCAAAAGAATTTCCTTGACTGGTCTCACTAGCCAACGTGTCTGAGAGAATAGATCGCCTGGAGAACATGGTGGGCCGTGCTTAGAGCTGGACGCACTGGTAGGTTTTGGCAGCTTTTCTTTTCTGGGATGATTTGTAGTAAAAGCCTGCCACCCACCACACAGTTTGACCCTTTTGTTTATTTACTTTCAGCAGAGACAGCTAGTTGGTTTGATTCCTGGACATGGACACGCGCTTCCTGTGATTCATCCTCCCATAACTACTGCATGGATTTCAACCACACACCGAGTGAAGCTGTGATTCATAAACCGATATCCCTCAAGTTACTGATTGTTAAGTAACAATACCTGCAGTTAATCTAGGAATTGAATAAACATTGAATGCAATTTTTTGAAACTGCTGTAAAAGCTATTTACACTATTTTCTCTAAACACCTATATGAACATAGTGTGATTTATAATAACCAAAGAGAACAAGTATTATTTTTGCTTCTCCTGTACTGTATTATGTATGTTTTGTATCCTGTTTGTACAAAGTTAAATATTGTATATAGTGGTTTTTATAAAAATGTCTAATTGGATTTAATTAGTAATTGATTTTAATAGAAAAATTATTTTATGCTCTAAAGCATTCAATCAGTAAAATGTTTCCTACATTAAATACGTTTGCATATTAAATCTCATTTACAACAATTTAACTATCAAATGTTTTATTGTTACAAATTGTATTATGTGTCACGGATTATGAATGTTAATCTTCTGTGAGTGTTATGAGATGGCCTAAATGAATAAAAAATAAAAATGTAACCAAGCAGACAAATTGGGCAATAACATAATCACAAAAGAGGTTGTTATGCACACTCTAGTATTGTTCAGTTCTTAAATAGAGGTTAAAAATGACGTGTGAAATTATACTTTCTAACATAATCTTGTGAGGCTAAACAGCTGTAGCTGAAGCTGATATCAGTAAAGTTTAAACAGTGCTCTCATGCTGGATCACATGCATGCATCGTGCCCTGTGAATTCAGTGTGCAAAGCAATTTCAATCCAGTGTGGGAATGGCAGACTCTGCCACTAACTGTGAAAACTACTATATAGACAAGTAATGACAGACTTTGAATACATTGGATGGCTACAGCTTAAAATATGGCAATACAACACTACTATACTTTAATAAATAGTTAAACACATGTTGCACAATATTAAGGATTGTAACTAAGAAGAATTGTAGGCTGAACATGCATTTGTTTGTAAGAAAGAAACCATTCCCTCAATAAATTCCCTTGAATAAAAAAATTATTATCATGAACGATGAAGAAATCCCACTTTGTATCGTTATGAAACCTTGTGACACAACTGTGAGAATTGACATATCACTCTCAAATATGTTTCTATAGATACAAAGAGGCATTCTATTAGTCTCTCTTGTATAACATTACATTTCAGTGCCACATATGTATTTCTGTGTCAATATAGAAAGGTAAACCTGACCTGCTCTGCCATTTCTATTAACAATGTGTTATAATTTACTCTGGCAGTAAACCCTCTCTGATCTCTGAGGTCAGGGGACGATCACTTCCTAACCTCTAACCCTTTTTACGCATTCAATCACTAAACATACAAAATACAGCTGGATTAAAGTCTAAAATCTATCCACAACTGAGCAGAGCTATTCATTTGACTGATTTTTAGGATAACAGCTTTACTACACCACTGTTTTGGCACCCTGTTATTGCCATTGTGTCTTTTTTACACCTTCAGCACTGCCAACAAAACAACAGACAGAGGTCATGATGTTACCTCTGGAATGAATTGGCTTATATGCTCGAAACAGCACTGACAACAGAGCTTCTCTGTCTGCTCCGTCTGTGCGAGGCAGAGAGTCAACACGCCAACGTTTACTTCCTGTCTGGTTTGGAGCCTCTCATTCCTTCCTTTAACCATACAGCTGTTTTATGTTTATTTGCTACTTCAGTGGCTTCATGGTTACCACATACACAGAGGCGGTCAGAGAGGTGAGCCCTCCAGTTTTTCAGTGGAAGATGATGAATGGAACTCACGCTCCTCTGAGAAGTGGAAAAGACACATAAAGTTTGGTGCAATGCATCCCCGTTTACAATTACATTTTCAACAATATCTCTAAACAGTTTAACAGCGCTCTGTTCCATTGATAATTGTTTTTGTGAGGGTCATAAAGGGCATATTTCAGAAGTTTCTATTAAAGGACTAGTTTGACATTTTGGCAAATACTTTTGTTCACTTCCTTCGTGAGAGGTAGATGAGCAGATTGTTAGCACTTTAATGTGAATTACCTTTAACTAATTAACAAGTTATATCTCTTTTGAAGCATTAAAAGGACACTTTTCCTTTTTCTCTTGCCAAGAAACTAAATAAGCAACTTTCCCAAAATGTCAAACTTTTATGGGTTGTTTCTCCAGGTGTCAGAAACATTAAAGACCTTATTTCGCCCTTTAAATAGTGATGTTGAACAGCTTCATAGAAAAGATATTAGAGAAACTGAGAAGTTTGAGCATTTTTTATTCCAACTATCTGTCACACTATCTATCCATCAAAAAAATAACTATAAAAACTACACTGCTGATTAATAACTAATTAGTTAGCAACACTAATACTAAAATAGTCATGCTATAATATTCATTAACAAAAAGCTTTCAAAATGTAGGTCCTCAGTAAATAAAAAGAGACAACAGTAATTTAACTAAATAAAGCCCAACTGTGTTTATTAAAACAGATAAAATGTTTATTTTTACTGTATTAATGTGGGTACAAACATGAGCTTCAAATAAACCTGTCACTGTGTGGTAAAAAAAAACAACACTTGGAATAATTGTACTTATTTTTAAATGCCCTTTTAAAGCCCTGGTTTGTTTCACTTGTAAATCTTTTAAAAAGTATATTCCTGACCTTGGAAATAGTAATTCATCACACCTCCATCTGCAGTAAAACAAATTTGGTAGAAAGCTCTGGAAAAAGGTAGTGAGTGGACGTTGATGTAAGATTTTTAAAATGTAAGTGTTGTAGCGGTAAAATATATGACTTGAAGCACTGAGACATTTTGACAGCAGTGAAAGTGGTGCTGTCGGCCTGTCAGTGAAGAGGACCCCCGGATGAAGGTGCATGATGGATATTTGTCCTGGTTCTGCTAGAACAAAGTGGACTTTGATACTTTGTGTTAATTCTCTCAGCAAACAGCAACATTTAAGGTGCAAGAAGAAGCGTCAGCTCCCGGGGCTGCTGAACACAACAACCTTTGCTTTAGCTGTACAGGTTGTCCCAGCCAAAATTAACCTTTTAAGACTTTCCATAGCTTCGTGTTCAAGTTCCTCAAATGAACAAATCTAATCTCAAATGACTAACACAGTGGAACAAGGTAATTTTGTCACATTCAAATGCATGAAAATGCACTTGAGTCTTGGCATTTAATGAAATCTGAGATGTGTACTTCCTCATCTTTTATAGTTTGTGACTTCCTGGATGTTTTGTGATGCAGAAACCCCTTGATTTATGTGATGTAATGGCCTACAGCTATCCACAGGTTGTATGTTTTTGCCATTTTCTCAGCAGTGTCAACAGCCAGCAGTCTAAATCCTCTTTCTCCAGGATAAACTGGTCTCCTTTGATCTGTTTCAAGTCGTCCACACAGTCTGGAGATGAATGGGCCGGAAAAGGGAAGTGCACGGCTACTGAGTGACCTCTACTTCCTTAAGGTGCCTTTTTTCACCAGGACAATTGACTTTGTCACCTGTGAGATCGTCTGAGAATTTCTCACCAGTTTGCTTATGGGTTGCCTCCTTGTTGTGTATTTACTGCAACTGGTGTTTACATATTCCTGAGACTGGTGTGAGAGATGTTTGAGTCTGTCAGGGTCACATACTTTTCTTTACATTAAAAACACCCCCCATCGCTACATTATACGGATAATAAAAAATGGATTTTATGTAAGAATGTCATTAAAATTTAAACTTGCTTTAATTGCACCTACAGTACAGGTACTGATTACTTCACTTCCTTGCTTTCATGAGATCTGAGTCAAGTCTGCCACCTCCATCCATCCATCCATCCATCGTCAACCGCTTATCCTGCGTATAGGGTCGCGGGGGGTTGGAGCCAATCCCAGCTGACATTGGGCGAAAGGCGGGGTACACCCTGAACAGGTCGCCAGTCCATCGCAGGGCAAGTCTGCCACCTGATGTTACAAAAAAACTTGGCATTTTGATGTGGTCTGGATGTCAATCACCACATGTTATTTTTCATTATCAGATATTTAATGATATTATGGGGCATGAGGATAATAGTTTATACTTGCAGAATTCCACCTTTATACTTGCAGAATAGGTCAACCAACTTTCAATCTGAAAACTTACTATTTTATCACTATAGTAGCCTATAATGAAATATTAGATTATAGATTTTTGTGCTAAAGATGCTCACTATACATAGTAAAATAAATATGCAGGCCTACTACATAGTAAGTAAAACAAAACACTTTCAATGGTAAGACTCATCCCACCAAAATGCACCACAGAACGCTACAGGAAGTCATTCCTGTATGAGGCCATAAACTCTTTAACTCCTCCCTCAGTGTCAGACACTGACTGTTAGTCTTTAAACTGGACCTTGGAATGTTACTCAATACTTGATTAATGTGTGATATTCTGGTTTATTCTATCCTATTTTTATTTTTATATATCTACATTTTCTATTTTCTATTATATATCATTATATCTAAATTATATAAATTATTTAATTAAATTCCTTGTTTTGCAACATGAGTAATTGTAACGAAAAGTATTTCTGATTCTAATCTTAAATACACACATATTAAAATAAAGTAAAAATTACGTAGTTATTATACATAGAACTAACATTTTAATGAAAACGCAGGTTACTGATTATTATCTGTTATTATGTAATATCCATCCATCTTCATCGGCTTATCCGGGATCGGGTTATTATCTAATATATTTTAAAAAATGAAAACAAACTAAATTGTAGTTAACCACACGTGGATTGAATTTGAGGAATATGATAATAATACTGCCTGATAATCAGTAAAATCACTGTGATTAGTTATATGCAGGTTGTGAACAATATAGAAACGTAAGGCCATTTACTTCAGCCTGTTGGCGGTAGGCCACGCCCACTTGGGGACGCACTGAAACGTCATTGACCGTCTCTTCGCTGACGTCACATCCGCAGTTGAAAAACACCAACAAACCTTCACAGAATCAAATCCATGGAGGAAGATACTTCCCAAATATTTGAATATGCCCACTCTGAGTTTAAAAAGCAGAATTTCAAAAGGGCAGATGAATTGTACACGAAGTTTATCTCTTCCTGCGTACAGTCCAGGTACTGTTTGTCCTTTTTGCAAAAGTAAAAAGTGCTAACGGTAAACTGCAGTTACGCCGTATTTTGTGACCACAAATTCTGTGATCCTGTTTTCGCTAGCTACCTATTAGCTAACTTTAATTATCTTTCTCTCTCTTCCGTGTCACTTACGCTAATTGTATTAATTGTTATAGAAGCTAGCTATAACTGTTTATTTCCACAGGGATTGTGAAGTTAGTAATTTGGCCACTGCTTACAACAACCGCGGACAAATTAAGTACTTCCGTGTGGATTTTCATGAAGCTATAGAGGACTACACCTCAGCAATACAGACTGACAGCCAGTGGGAAACACCTTTCTACAACAGAGGTCTCATCCACTACAGACTAGGTAAGGACTTCCACGCAGGACCTGCTTCATAATAAAAGACTCATTTATGAAATATTCCAGTATTTTGTCCTTTTGTTTCATTATTTGTTCAAATCATAGAGTATGTTTAAAAATAAAATATATTCCAGGAAGAAAATTATTGTTGTTTGGTGCAAAGACACAATCACTAAATCCATACCAACATGACAACATGTACTCACAGGTAGGCAAGAAATTAAAAGAAAAAACCCAAGTGAACACCTATGGGTGACTTTGGACCAATATGTTAGACAGCGCTCTCCCCCTAAGCTTCCTTTAACAAATAGGCCACAAGCTTCCTGTTGGCCCTTTTTGCACAATACTTCCACATTTTCAGTAATGTACATCTTGGTGTCTGTGATTATTTCTTAGCATCTGCAGCTGCCGGCACATTCAACCATATGTCTTTTAATATAGATCAGGTGAGATTTAGTTTTTAAAATCATTAACCATGTTCCTCACCTGTCATATCATCCCAAGATTACCTTGGATGATTGTGTTCTTGCATATGACACTAGATGGAGCTCTGTGTTCACTTGTGTGCATGCTGCCCAGAAAATAGAACTGCTGACTGTCAACAAGCCAGTTTGGCAGTACATTACAAGGCACAGAGTTATAGTCATTGTGCATTAACATTTTTTTTAATTATCTTACAGGTTTTTTCGACGATGCCAAGAGTGATTTCCAGCAAGCATTGAAGCTCAATCCAGATTTTGAGGATGCAAAACTGAGCCTGCAGCAGACCCTCTTGGACCAGCAGCACAAAATAAACAGGGGATACTGACAACCTCAAATTATAGAGTACACATTTTATACACTGCTCAAAAAAATAAAGGGAACACTAAAATAACACCCTAGATCTGAATGAAATAATCTCATTAAATACTCCTTTCTTTACATAGTTGAATGTACTGACAACAAAATCACACAAAAATGATCAATGGAAATCAAATTTATCAACCCATGGAGGTCTGGATTTAGAGTCACACTCAAAATCAAAGTGGAAAACCACACTACAGGCCGATCCAACTTTGATGTAATCTCCTTAAAACAAGTCAAAATGAGGTTCAGTAGTGTGTGTGGTCTCCACGTGCCTGTATGACCTCCCTACAATGCCTGGGCATACTCCTGATGAGGTGGCGGATGGTCTCCTGAGGGATCTCCTCCCAGACCTGGACTAAAGCATCCGCCAACTCCTGGACAGTCTGTGGTGCAACGTGGCATTGGTGGATGGAGCGAGACATGATGTCCCAGATGTGCTCAATTGGATTCAGGTCTGGGGAACGGGCGGGCCAGTCCATAGCATCAATGCCTTCCTCTTGCAGGAACTGCTGACACACTCCAGCCACATGAGGTCCAGCATTGCCTTGCATTAGGAGGAACCCAGGGCCAACCGCACCAGTATATGGTCTCACAAGGGGTCTGAGGATCTCATCTCGGTACCTAATGGCAGTCAGGCTACCTCTGGCGAGCCCATGGAGGGCTGTGCGGCCCCCCAAAGAAATGCCACATCACACCATTACTGACCCACCGCCAAACCAGTCATGCTGGAGGATGTTACAGGCAGCAGAACGTTCTCTACGGCGTCTCCAGACTCTGTCACGTCTGTCACATGTGCTCAGTGTGAACCTTCTTTCATCTGTGAAGAGCACAGGACGCCAGTGGCGAATTTGCCAATCTTGGTGCTCCACGGTGTTGGGCTGTAGGCACAGCCCCCACCTGTGGACATCGGGCCCTCATACCACCCTCATGGAGTCTGTTTCCGTCTCATGCTAACACTAGAGTGAAAGCACCACCAGCATTCAAAAGTCCAAAACATCAGCCAGGAAGCATAGGAACTGAAAAGTGGTCTGTGGTCACCCCCTGCAGAACTACTCCTTTACTGGGGGTATCTGGCTAATTGCCTATAATTTCCACCTGTTGTCTATTCCATTTGCACAAAGCATGTGAGATTGATTGTCAGTCAGTGTTGCTTCCTAAGTGGACAGTTTGATTTCACAGGAGTGTGACTGACTTGGAGTTACATTGTGTTGTTTAAGTTTTCCCTTTATTTTGAGCAGTGTATATGTATGTACATTCTGCTAGAGCTTTCACATAACCAATTAAGATAACCTAAAAAAATTAAACACAAAGCAATTTGCACAACCAATGACTCCACTGAAAATCACATGATTGTTGACACATTACAGGAAGTAGACATCCCACTGGATCAGGCGTGACACTTACATGGATTTTTGTGAAGCAGAGCAATGATAATTTCTTTACTGCACTGCCTGAAGACTCTTCCAGTTGGAAAAAAATTAATTGCCTCATAAATGAAAGTATATCATTGTATAAGTGAGAGAACAGCACAGACAAATCGACCCTGGCTCACCAAGTACAAAGATGAGCTTGGGTTTTACTCTCAGCAATAAAGACACTGGGAAGACGTTTGTGACTATAAACAAAAATCAAGTGTTGCCATACAGTAATGAAAAGGATTCTCTCAGCTGCAAAGGGAAAACATGTTTTGTGTCTTAAATTGAAGCTTAGGCACTCTATATTTGTCCTAGATTCTGTTGACCCTATGGATTAAAAAAAAATATATGATATAATATAATTTCTGATGCCAAACATAAATGTATCTGTTTGTAATCAGTGAGAAATAAATTATTTTTTATCACTCTACTAATCCATTGTGTATTTATTCTGCACATACACAGAGTTTTCCATCTTTCTTCAAGATACAGATGCATGTGCCAAGCTAACTGCATCTGAGGTGGGTGGAGAATCACTAATTTGCCTCACCTGTGCATTGTGATTACCTTAAATATAAAACAGCTTGCGATGGCTCAGTAAAGCAGTCAGCCCCATCACTTCAGAGTTGGTTTGTTATCTGGGGCATGAAGGCGGTCCAGTGCCATCTTCTGATAGTGATTGGATTCCTGTAGTTTTTTTTTTTGTTTGGCTGTATTCAGGCTACGACATGCTGAGGCTTGGGAACATGTATGTAATTTTCTTATTTCTTTTATAATGGCTTCTAGCTGCCTACTTTAATGTCTCTAAATGATGTGTTTGTTTGTTCAAGTCTTTTATGGAACTTGATGGCTGCAGTAATTATCTTGGGTAAAGCCAGGCCAGATACAAAACTCAATTCACAGTCAAGTAAGCCTGCATTCATTCATGAAATCACTTGATGACTTTCTTTTTTTTTTTTTTTTTTTTTTTAAGTCAACTTACTTCCTCACAATTCTTTTCTTTCATTAGACAGTGGTTTAAGGTCAGACTGTATTGGTAATCTAATGAGGCTGTCATTGGACAAGGCTCTAGCAGTGGGGAACCAGCTCGAGGTAGAAGCCATTGGTGAGTATAATATCTGCTAATGATAGTAAGAATGGAGTAGTTTGGTTCAGCACTCAGATAAGTGATCCCTGCCATGTTTTCACCCCCCCCCTCCCCCAGATGCCACCCAGCGTGTTGTGTTAACACCCAGCTTGGCGGCTCGGTGTGGATACAGCATGGAGTCTGACCCATGGGGTAACACCAGAATCTACACATCTCTGATGGCCTGCTATGTGGACAACAAAGTATGTTGCGTAAAAGTTGATTTTTCTGCCAGTGAAATGTTTTCATAAATGACTTGAGTAAACTACTTCATTTCACCTCTAAAAATGTTGACTACATTTGGTGTCAAAACTACATGTACCAACATTTCATGTCATGCATTTCTTGTGCCTTCATTTATAGGAAGATACAACATTTGACAATGGCCTGAAACTCCGAATGTACAGCCAGAATCTATCAGATGTGGTTCATGAGGTGAAGCAGGCCTGCAGCTACACTCAGTGGGCCTCCAGAGAGATTCTCTGTGAGAGGAACTACATGGAAGTAGGTGGTCACTTTACATCGGTTGTAAATTGAGGGGGGAGAGAGAATGATGCTAGTATTTCTTGTATTTTAGGTGTCACGCTACCTGGCTTCACCTGATTCTCAAGCTGAATCTATTGGGGAAGCTCAAAACTCTAAAATCAATTCCATTGACATTGTAAGTTCATTTTAAATTGTCAGTTACACTTAATGTCACACTGCACCATTTGGCATCCCCCTTCAGTAGACATGAAGGCTGGTGTGTTTGGGTTTTTGTTTTTCCTTCCCTATAGGACTCTAGTGCAGCACATGGTATCTGGAAGATGACGTTTTACAATCCAGAACCAGTGTCAATGGTGCTGAAGGAGGCTGAACAAGCTGGCTATGGTGCCACGATGACCTCAAAACGTCTGGTTATGCGAAGTCCATACAGTACAGCAAATACTTATTCAGACGAAGTAAGCAAACCCCCCTCAAGTGTTCATTTCTCTTCCTCCTTGCACATTACATTAAACCCTCCTCTTTTAGGTTGCTGGAGTCCCCATGGAAGTTTTCAAGGTGAGCGCCTACTACAAGGTACCACATGGTCTAAGGATGATTAACTTGGCAGCTGCTTGTCCCACAGGTGAGTGGATTTCAGTGAACATTACCATAAAGTGTTGCACAGTTAAGTCAACAGTTGCTTTTTATCAACAGGTGGCGTCCTCTTCACTGAGGATATCATCTCTTGGCATGTACCTCGCCGTGTGACTCATCTGGTAGATAGCAGCTTTAAAATCCTAGAAATGCACATGGGCATCAACGGGCAGAAGCTGGATGAATCTCAGATGACCGCACGAGGGTACACACTCTCTGCCACAGAGTTCCACATTGTTGTTGAGCTCCCAGTGGGCGCGCCTGATGGTTACTACAAGGTTGGGAAGTATCTAGATTTGATATGCAAGACTCTGGTCATGGTCCATTTACATGTTTTATTTAAATGTCATGAATAATTGCAGAGCCATGCCCCAGATTACCAGTACCACATCACCTACACTGTGGAGCCCATGCTTGAGGTACTGTGGAGGGCAGATGACATCAAAGATGATACCAGGTACAAGGTTTTGTTCCCTATTACTACCCCTCTGATGCCTCGACCGCCCCACCATAGAGATGGTAAGTCCCATTTTCTGGTAAAGACTCTCAAAATTCACTTGTGGCGGGGGGGGGGAAGTAAACCTTCCCCTTTCTGTTCCTCAGACACTGTTACAGAGGACAGGGTGTTCAGTGTTCACTTGGGGACCTTCCTTCATGATGTGGAGCTGAGGAACATCACCTTCTCCACTGGGGTTTTCACTCCAGAGGAGTGCAAGGCCAGAGGTTTCAACGTCCAAAAGCACAGCTTCCCCAATGGAACCAAGAGCTTCTCTCTGAAAGTGCCCTTTGATGCAGATGTTGTTCTGAAAAATGTATGTGAACTGACATCTCTCCAAAGCATGCTTATATTCTCTGCCTTTTTTGGGAGGGAGTGTTTTCAGTTAACTACTTTTGCCATCTGCAGAATCCTGAACCCTTGGTTACAGTCTACTCCCTCCCTCTGCTCTTTGGGCTCATTATCCTACCTGAACAAATGACGTTCACTCACTCAGTGGATTTGCAGGCGTCTCTGCAGGATGTTGGTGAGCTCATTTTGTTTTTGTTCTGACTGTCTTATTCCAAGATTTTAAATGTGATCTGAAACCACAACTAAAGAAGCAATACCATCTATGCTGATTTTTAGTGCTACCCACCATCACTGGCACCTGTGACCAGATGCAGTTTTACATCCAAGGGAAATACGGGAGTCAAAAGAATTTCCGAACCATGGTTGGACTTCAAGAGCTAACGTCTGAGCTGGCTGAAGACTACAGTTACCAAGAGAACAGCACACACTTCAGCCTTATAGTGCCCTACACTGCCATGGTTACAGTATTTGAGGTATGTCAAACTATATAAAATCTAACTATAGATCTGCACAGGATAACTACTTTCTGTCTTGCAGCTGATTACCTCGGATTCAGTTAGAGCAAGAACTGACCTGTTCCTGTTAGATCCCAAGAACAACTGGGTTCTTGCTGATCTCTACCTGTCCTGCAACTTCCCCCTGCCAACAACTAGTAAGATATTAAAGAAATTGTATATTCTGCTGCTTGGATTATATTGTAACATTTTCCTCTTCTGCCTTCAGCGTGCTACCCCAATGGAACAATGACTGCTCTGGCTGTGAAGGTGGAAGCGGTGTCCAATCTCAACCCAAGCTGGTTGACTCTAAAGGACCAGTCCTGCAAACCAGTGTTCAGCAACGATCGCTTTGCATATTTCTCTTTCAGTGTCGATTCCTGTGGGACCACTCGAACAGTGAGTTTAATGTCGCCTTAATTCTAGATGAAATGAGAAGTGCCTTTGTTAAATGTGTTAATGCTACCTGTTCTCTTAGTTCTTCGAACACTACATGCTGTATGAAAATGAGATTGGCCTGTATGACAAACTCAAGGGGGCAGCCTACACATCACAAACTGAACTGGAGTACAAGTAGGAAGACCTTTCAATCTCTTATCCTGATGTACCATCTGGTTAGGGTTTTGAGTTTAACCGCACCTGTGTCCTTGTTCTGTAGGCAAACAATTTCATGCTACTATGGGATCAATAAGACTCATACTGTTGCATTCAGCTATAATCCAAGACTCAATGAGCCCAAAGCTGAGGTTGGCTTTGGGCAGCTGATGGTGCAAATGAGGCTAGCCCAAGGTAAGGTAGAATAGACATCCTTTGTCTTGATCTAAAACGCATTACCACACACTTAACATCTACGGGTTTAGGTTTATTTTCCTCCCACCCTCTCTTAATGGGACTCTTCTCCTCAGATTCATCATACGATGTCTTCTACCAAGCAGAAGATTATCCAGTAGTGAAATATCTGAGGCAGCCTCTATATTTTGAGGTGGAGCTGAGCAAGTCTACAGATCCCCAGTTGGAACTCGTCTTGAAGAACTGTTGGGCCACCCTTCATGAAGACAGGACATCTCTGCCCAGCTGGGACATCATTGTGGATGGGTAATGCATAGCATAATGTACACAAAACTGAGGTTATACTTCAGTTTCTTGACGATACAATCTCAAAATTCAGGTTTACTTATAGTAAAAATGTCTTTACGGTCTAGTTTGTCACCTGAATGGGTTAATGTGGCTTGTTCAAATTGTCTTGGCCTGTTTGTGGAAACACTGTGGTGGCTGCACAAGTTAAATCCAATTGTATGGTTTAAAGGCTGCCATAAGTCATGCAGAAATACTATTTTTAATGTTCCTTCACCAGCTGTGAGAACAGTGAAGACGGCTATGTGACAGTCTTCCATCCTGTCGTGAAAGACGCCAGGGTTAAACTCACATCCCACATCAAACGTTTCTCTATGAAGATGTTCACCTTCACAAAAGATGAAGAGGTTCTGAAAGACAAGGTAAAGCATCCAAATGAGGGGTGTGTGAGATTGGGACAGCTACATGTAGCCCTGCATAATGAATCCTTCTGTCTCCCCAGATTTATGTGCACTGTGACGCAATGATCTGTGACACAAATGTCCACGAGGACACTGCCTGCAGAGCCCAGTGTGTGTATCCTACAGACCCGACTAACTCCAGAGATGGAGGGATAAAAGGAGTAAAAAGGGGTGAGTGTTTAGAATAAACTGTCAACCTGAATCTATGTGCAGTTGGTGACCTATACTTGTGTTTTCAGTGGAAAGCAGTACAGACTCCACCCACCAAGTGCTGATCTCCTCCTCTGGACCCATTCTATTAAATGTGCAGTCAAATCTCTGAAATAAACAGTTTCTTAAAACTTGTTGTGAACTTCTTTTGTCTAAAAGACAGTTAAAGCTCAATGTTTGCCTCCCAACCTGTATACATGAGCACACTAAAGTCACTGCAGTGAATTCTAGCAGATGAGGTTTGTGTGACCTCTTGTACTTTAACAAGCATTCCTGTTCCCTTTCTGGGAGAGCTGTTGCAGATTGGCCATCGATAGGTGGCTTTTGTATACAATACCCCCACAGCTGCAGGAAACGATTATATAAATCATTTTGTTCAGGGGATTAATGTTTCCGTGATGTAGTTTGAACAACGCCAGAACTAGTTTTCACAAGTCTACATGGGACAGAGCTTTAACCTAAAGTGCACTTCCTCAAAGTCAATTTGACTGATGTATGGCCTCAAATGTCTTGCCATGTGATCGGCTACCGACAACTTCAAAGTGAGCCTACATTTTTCTCACTTGTCACTTTTGATATTGGCTGTATACACTCACATAAAGGATTATTAGGAACACCATACTAATACTGTGTTTGACCCCCTTTCGCCATCAGAACTGCCTTAATTCTACGTGGCCTTGATTTTAACAAGGTGCTGAAAGCATTCTTTAGAAATGTTGACCCATATTGATAGGATAGCATCTTGCAGTTGGAGATTTGTGGGATGCACATCCAGGGCACGAAGCTCCCGTTACACCACATCCCAAAGATGCTCTATTGGGTTGAGATCTGGGGACTGTGGGGGGCCATTTTAGTACAGTGAACTCATTGTCATGTTCAAGAAACCAAGTTGAAATGATTCGAGCTTTGTGACATGGTGCATTATCTTGCTGGAAGTAGCCATAAGAGGACGGGTACATGGTGGCCATAAAGGGATGGACATGGTCAGAAACAATGCTCAGGTAGGCCGTGGCATTTAAATGATGCCCAATTGGCACTAAGGGGCCTAAAGTGTGCCAAGAAAACATCCCTCACACCATTACACCACCACTACCAGCCTGCACAGTGGTAACAAGGCATGGATCCATGTTCTCATTCTGTTTAGGCCAAATTCTGACTCAACCATCTGAATGTCTCAACAGAAATCGAGACTCATCAGACCAGGCAACATTTTTCCAGTCTTCAACTGTCCAATTTTGGTGAGCTCTTGCAAATTGTAGCCTCTTTTTCCTATTTGTAGTGGAGATGAGTGGTACCCGGTGGGGTCTCCTGCTGTTGTAGCCCATCCGCCTCAAGGTTGTGCGTGTTGTGGCTTCACAAATGCTTTGCTGCATACCTCGGTTCTAACGAGTGGTTATTTCAGTCAAAGTTGCTCTTCTATCAGCTTGAATCAGTCGGCCCATTCTCCTCTGACCTCTACCATCAACAAGGCATTTTCGCCCACAGGACTGCCGCATACTGGATGTTTTTCCCTTTTCACACCATTCTTTGTAAACCCTAGAAATGATTGTGCGTGAAAATCCCAGTAACTGAGCAGATTGTGAAATACTCAGACCGGCCCGTCTGGCACCAACAACCATGCCACGCTCAAAATTGCTTAAATCACCTTTCTTTCCCATTCTGACATTCAGTTTGGAGTTCAGGAGATTGTCTTGACCAGGACCACACCCCTAAATGCATTGAAGCAACTGCCATGTGATTGGTTGATTAGATAATTGCATTAATGAGAAATTGAACAGTTGTTCCTAATAATCCTTTAGGTGAGTGTAGGTAATTTAGTGCCAAAGAATATGCTAAGTACATACAGGTGCTGGTCATATAATTAGAATATCATCAAAGTTGATTTATTTCAGTAATTCCATTCAAAAAGTGAAACTTGGATATTATATTCATTCATTACACACAGACTGATATTTCAAATGTTTGTTCCATTTAATTGTGGTGATTAGAATCAACAATGAAAATCCCAACTTCAGTATCTCAGAAAATTAGATTATTACTTAAGACCAATACAAAAAAAAGGATTTTTAGAAATGTTGGCCAACTGAAAAGTATGAACATGAGAAGTATGAACATGTACAGCACTCAATACTTAGTTGCGGCTCCTTTTGCCCGAATTACTGCAGCAATGCGACGTGGCATGGAGTCGATCAGTCTGTGGTCAGGTGTTATGAGAGCCCAGGTTGGTCTGATAGTGGCCTTCAGCTCTTCTGCATTGTGGGGTCTGGCGTATCACATCTTCCTCTTCACAATACCCCATAGATTTTCTATAGGGTTAAGGTCAGGCGTGTTTGCTGGCCAATTAAGAACAGGGATACCATGGTCCTTAAACCAGGTACTGGTAGCTTTGGCACTGTGTGCAGGTGCCAAGTCCTGTTGGAAAATGAAATCTGCATCTCCATAAAGTTGGTCAGCAGCAGGAAGCATGAAGTGCTCTAAAACTTCCTGGTAGACGGCTGCGTTGACCTTGGAGTTCAGAAAACACAGTGGACCAACACCAGCAGATGACATGGCACCCCAAACCATCACTGACTGTGGAAACTTTACACTGGACTTCAAGCAACGTGGATTCTGTGCCTCTCCTCTCTTCCTCCAGACTCTGGGACCTTGATTTCCAAAGGAAATGCAAAATGTACTTTCAGAGAACATAACTTTGGACCACTCAGCAGCAGTCCAGTCCTTTGTCTTTAGCCCAGGCGAGACGCTTATGATGCTGTGTCTTGTTCAAGAGTGGCTTGAAAAGGAATGAGACAGCTGAAACATGTCTTGCATACGTCTGTGCGTGGTGGTTCTTGAAGCACCGACTCCAGCTGCAGTCCACTCTTTGTGAATCTCCCCCACATTTTTTTAATGGGTTTTGTCTCTCCAGGGTGCAGTTATCCCTATTGCTTGTACACTTTTTTCCACCACATCTTTTCCTTCCCTTCGCCTCTCTATTAATGTGCTTGGACACAGCTCTGTGAACAACCAGCCTCTTTAGCAATGACCTTTTGTGTCTTGCCCTCCTTGTGCAAGGTGTCAATGGCCGTCTTTTGGACAGCTGTCAAGTCAGCAGTCTTCCCCATGATTGTGTAGCCTACAGAATCAGACTGAGCGTCCATTTAAAGGCCTTTGCAGTTGAGTTAATTAGCTGATTAGAGTGTGGCACCAGGTGTCTTCAATACTGAACCTTTTCACATTATTCTTATTTTCTGAGATACTGATTTTGGGGTTTCATTAGTTGTCAGATATAATCAAAAGGAATGAACACTTGAAATCTATCTGTGTGGAATGGATGTATACAAGTTTCACTTTTTGAACGGAATTACTGAAATAAGTCAACTTTGATATTCTAATTATGACCAGCACATTCTTTATTGGAAGGTGAAATGTCAAGGTATTGACTTACTGCTAAAGTTCAGATACAAACTAATGTCACACACACACACACACACAGCTTTTAGTTGGCAAACATGCATCTGTAGGTTTTGGTGGGTCTGGTTAGTTTCCTTCAGGACTTCTGACTTGGTATAACTTTAAGGCCCTTATGAAAGCCTCTCCATACAGTTGGAACAGGTCCATTTCTGTTCCACACTCAAAAATGCAAGGAGAGACTGTTAAACATGTTATAATTAAACTTTAGAGTTAGTATGCCAGTTCCACAATGTACATGCATGTAAAACTGAAAGTGGGAAAGATTCATTGAAAGATTGAATGCAATTACTGCTGTGTGAAATCCTACAAGTCTAAAAACTTAGATTATACAAAATATATGCAATTAAATTTTAAGTGTTAGGGACCAAACCAGCTATATTAACTGAAGCTTTGTCACAAGTGTACTCTCCTTCAGGTTTGAGCACAAGTGTTTTCTGTAGTCTTTATAGCATCTAGAATAAGTTAAACTGCATCTTTGTAGACTTGCCTAAAATTGACTTTTGAAGTTAGACACATCTGTCAGTTTTATACAGTTTCTCCTTCACTGTAATTAGTTTAGACCAATTCTCAGGCTCTTCCTAACAGACATTTCAGTTAAGACCTCATACTATTAACACATCTGCCTTAACCACAGAAAACAGTTGGAACACACCAGCACATACAAGTCACCATTTATGAGTCAAGTCTACAAATTGACCTTGCAGCCATCTCCATAATATTTCAAAGAATACAAGTGAATTCTTGTTAAAAATAATTTATTTCGATTTATGTCCACTTACACAAGTATGCGTCCTGATGACACATGTTTGAAACTGTGCACATCTGAAATGTCACGTCTTTGACCTGAAGAAAAAAAAAAAAAAAAAAATGTTAGCCACTTTTCAAAAAGATATTTGCCCCCTTACAGAACAAGATGGCATACCTTTTATTGCCTTTTCCTGGTTTGAACAGGTTTGCTTACAAGCTTCACCCAGATGATTTGTGGCGTCACAGATTGCCACATCACAATGGACAAAGAACTACAAGATATGAACAGATTCATGGCTTTATACATTAGTTTCTTAGCTGAAGCATGGAAGGAAGAAGAGTTTTCTTTTTTAGCTGAAATTACCTGGCGACTCAAGTTATCTTGGTCTTCAACAAAGGCAAACATCTTAACCTGAAAGCGCTTGAAGTGAGATGGATTCTGAACTCTGGCATCAGGCCAAACAGGATTGAGGGTCACCCGGTGTGGGTCTACTGGGTTTATACAGCTGAAGGGTAAAAAAGAAGAAGTTTGTGCCCACTAGTGTATTTGTAAAGTCTACACAATGACACTTGGCTAAATGACTACCATGCTCTCATTTATCCACACAGCACTACTATCCCCTCTTTGGACCACCATGTACATGGAAGAGACTGATATCCATGTTCTCGTTCTTATTGCTTAAGTTAGACAGTTCCATTAAGTATGTAGGGGCAAACAGTCCTGCGGGCCAAGATTAAGTTACCCATTAATGATCAGGTTCCATCTGGGTTGGGACGTCCTGTCCTCATCCAGCGTCGCCCAGCAGTTCTCCAGCTCCAGTGATAGTTTGGAGTTTCTAGACCTCGTCAGCAGTTCCACCTCAAAATACAGCGGCTGTTGTAGGTACATTGCTATGGGATAGTCGTCAACTGTGTAAAACACGCTGTAGGACTCATCTAAGTGAAGGGAGACCATACGTGTTGATGTGAGTTATTAGGGATTAGACAAGTGGACCAAGAATAGCCTGCACAAATTCAGGTCTACAACACAAATAAGTGAACTTAAGTAGAAAGTATGTTGCCCTCATTGTCCTACTTGCCAGTGTGGTTATTAAGATGAATCTATGAACTTGATGTCAGAAATTCAATTACTTGACCAAAAACCCATTAGCTCAAGATGAATTTGTGAGATTGCCTCCTGACTTTAAGACACAGTCAGCTTACTAATGCAGCAATATCCAGATGCCTTTTTTGAAGCTTGTGCTACTCTCCAAGACACTACAAAAGCCTCACTGAGTGAGTGATCTTAAATACTCTGTTTATGGATTCACCAAGCATTTTAAAGTTAAAGAAAAAAAAAAAATCTAATGTTTGTACATAAAAATGTGCATTCAGAAGTCCCCTTACCCACAGCAAGTCTAATTGCAACTGTCATCTCGCCTCTGGCATTTTTGGCATATGGGTCACTCCTGCGAGGTCTGGATTGGAAGGCCACAGCGTGGGGTTTGTTGGTGTCATAATAACAAGAAACTTGTAGCCTTGAGACAACCCATGAGAATATATTTAGAATTTATAAAAAAGCACCACATTTCACATATCTGCCACTACACTGACAAGGAGCAGTCTCTTTGGACACCCATTTAGTTTTGGCAAGTTATTGGCTGCTTAGATGTGCGGTAGTACCAGTTTACTCTGAAAGTCATGTGTAGTGTCCACTAAAGTAATTGCAATTTGTTTAACACTTCAGTTCACTGATCCTCTAGGTGGATATTTTCAGTCTCAGTTAATCTGCAAATTGGTTTCAATTAATGGTTTTGGTCTCCAATATGCAAATGCCCTAGGATTAATATACTGGTTTTGTCCCAAACATACTGAGTTTACTATCACAGCAAGACAAAGAAAACCAGCTAAAAGCTAGGACAAGGAAATTTTGTTGAGGGGAAGGGACCCCCCCCAATATACCTCTATCTGCATCAATTGAGTGTTTCAGTTTTCAGACAGATACTCACCCAAAGTCCGGCTCATCAGTCTTCAATTCCTTTCTGACTTTGTCTGGCAGAGAGATTTCATTTTCATACAGCATCACATTGGACAAAAACTAAGGGGGAGACACACACACACACACACACACACACACACACTGAGCTTCATCTGGAAAAAAGAAATGTATATAAAAATTAGCAGCATGCTACCTTTCTGGTTGTCCCACAGGACCTCCCAGTGAAGACAAAGTAAGCATAGCGGTTGTCACTGTAGGAGGGACCACAGGTGGGGTCTCTGAGGGTGAGCTGACTGGGGTTTAGACTAGGAACCGACTCTAGTTTCACAGCCACAGCAGTCATGGTTCCATTAGGTAAACACTCTGTTAGGAGAATCAGACATTAATATGCAATGGGTTTTGTCCAAAATATTAAGTTAACCACTTATTTTCCTCCAACAAACCTGCCAGTGTTGAGGGGAAATGGCAAGCCACAGAGAATTCTTGGATGTTTGTGTTGGTTTCTGGATTTTTTAGAACCACAGTGAGTCTGCTCCTGATGGATGACTCTTCAACAGCCTGAGAACAAAAACTTGAGCATTACACAAAAAAGTGTCACTTTTGTTAAGAATATAGATTTTGAACGCACCTCAAACGCAACAGCGGGGTCTGAAAATGGCACGGCAAAACTGAAGTGTGTTCCGTTCTCCATGAGGCTGTACTGCTGAGCGATGTCTGGGGTCAACATTTGTTTTCCCACCATAGTATGAAAGTTTAAACCATGGGTCTCGTATTTCACAAGGACATTGAAGTTTTGATGATCACAGCCACCAGAGACAGAGGGAACTGCAGAAGGAGAATTAAAAAATAAATCCAAAAAATGTATACATTTCTCTCACCTCCCAAACTGTATAGCCATTTAACTTTTACAGTCAAGATGACAAGGACTGTGAGGCCATTTCTCTCATGTTGTAAACATTTCGTTTTGGCCTTTGTGCCAGTTACATTAGCATCTTGGACTGAGATGGAGTCCTCGTGCTCAATTTGTAACAAATCAATGTCATAAAATGAGTACAGACCTTTGTCTACTAATTTAGCTTCCACAAAAGCAGTGAGAGAAAATGGAGCAAACTCAGGCAGGACCACCAAACCAAGGGCCATGTGAAGAGAGTACACCTTTACACCCATTTCTGTCTGTTGGGAAATGGAGAGATTAGAAGCCTAGACAAAAACCACAATATTTAATTTCCCGAGTTGAGTAAAGCTTACAGTTTGTAGTACAGCATGGTCCGTGAAAGGCACTTCAACTGTGAAGGCCTTCGAGTTGCTGTTAGGGGACTTGTGCTCCAGGACATTAAAGCCTCTGACATTGCAGTCCTCCACAGACAAAACCTCATAGGGCAAGGAAATGTTCATTACTGCCACATCAGAGCCGAAAGGCCCAATCAGCAGCTTAAATGCTCTTTCCTCGGGAACAGTGTCTGTGGGGCAAAAATAGAGGCAGCTTGAAACATGCATTTTTAAAAAAAAAAAAAAAACCCCAACCACACCAAATCACAGAGAACCAAGACAAGACTCACTGTCTATAACTTGCGGAGGTGAAGACCGTAATTGTGTTGTTATGGGATGGAGGACTTTATAGTGCGTGTTCTTGTGAGTGGAGCCTTCAGTCCAGAGCAACTCGAGCATTGGTTCAATTGTATAAGCCATGAGGTACTGATCATCCTGAACATGACTCTGCAAAAATCAAATATCCTCAGTAAGGCCTTCCCTGAAGGACAGTCATCTTGTTAAACACAAATTTTTAACACATATGCATGTTAAAAAGTTTGGCAATGAATCTGTCCCTCTGCATAGAACTGTTCCACTTGATTCAGAACTTTGATGCAACAACATTCACAAGAGTTGTGCAAACCAACCATTCTGTTGTACACATGAAAAATTGGAGCAGTTTAGATTTGGTGCTTTTAAGTTTGCTTCTCTCAAGACAAAAAATTAAGGCAAAGATAGAGATTTAATATATCCATCCGTCTTTGGAGTGATGTATGAATTTTGCTGTAGAAAAATGAATGCCTGAAAACCCCATTTTGTCCCATCTATTTTTGGACTGTAGTACAAGTGCATGTGTAGCATTCTGGATCTGGCTTAAATGAATACAGTCTTATAAACCCATGCAGGCTGGGTATAATTGTATACATGACAATAGTAAAAACAGTTTCATATATAAATTGTTCCTGTTAAGTCTCAGTACCACTGACCTTGAAGGAGCCACCGACAGCCCCAACAGGAATCTCAACAACTATGTGTCTGTCACCAACAAACAGGGAGTATTGTCTGGCTGCCATCTCTGCAGGGTCGAGCCTCTGGCCATCGACGCCCATGTGCACCTCCAACAGTTTAAATGGGCCATATGAAATCAGAGTCTCAATCTGCCTGGGCAGAAACCAGCGGATGGTGTTTTGAGTAATGAAAACACTACCTGTACACAAACACAAAGCACTTTAGAAAAGGGAGAGACTGGACATGGATACATTACTATAGTCAGGGTAATGAGCCAACATTTTAGTTGTTTTACATGGTTTGAGCTCATATTTACAGAACAGTGGTTTTATTCCCCTGATCTAACTCCGTTTAACTAAATTCCCAGGGGAAAAAAATACTAGAGATATGACCTGGGTTACCTCTGTGGTATGGCTACAGCCCTGCCTACTGTTCAACACTCCTTACCCGCCAGGGAGGGGCAAGCAGCTGCCGCATCAATTTGAGTAGTCAGCCACTTCTTTTCAAATATTGTTGAAGTTTTGAGCACAGTCATGGGCACCCCTGCTACCTGCGGGAGGAAGTTAGAGAACATTGTGTATAAGATCTATTTAGTCCATTTAAAGCTTAAACAGCTGAGTGTTCAAGCATACTGTTGCAAAGATGTGGGCAACATAATGGGGGGATGTAAATAAAAGTGGCCTACAAATGTCATTCTGTCAAGTGGATTTCAGACAAAGTAATCTATTTGAAGGCAGTTTGATTACTGTATTTGATCTAAAGCCAGTAGTTTAATGGCTGCAAGTGTGTTATCTAATGCGATGCAAGTACTTCACCCAGAGCCTGCCTGAGGGGAAAGATTTCAAGTCAGGCTTCTTTAAAATTTGGTGAACTGCAGTCCACTTACATCCTGGGTGTATGTTTCAGGTGCATTCTTTGGACTTCTCACAGTCAGCCTTGTAGGGGTGGTCCCTATCCCATAACCATTTCTCTGGGCCACAGCCACTGTCATGGGCTTCTCCTCTGGAGTAAAGAACACAAGTGTTGCGATTCTGAATCCTCCGTCTATGAGCTGTTTCTGCAAGGTAAATAAAGACCGATCAATGCCATCAAATTGAGACAAGGATGTTTCCTGAATATTTAAAAAAAAAAAAAAAAACACTCATTTGAACTTGTCGAACCTTAGCAGCTGGTCGAGGATTAGACCCTTGGACGGGATGTTCAGGCAGGACATATTGACCTGGAGTTAACTTGCCTTGTCTTTCCACAGACACCTAGAAATGAAGCCACTCCATAAGTGATAATCTTTCCAATCTGCAGTGGCATCAAATGTACCAGCCTTGATGCACATACAGGACATAAAGCCACTTATGACCCCTCAAGTGTGTTGCTGCGTTCACTTGCCTCCATATAGTTGCGGTCACAGACAATTTCCCTGGAAGCCCAGGTAGTGTAGTGGCAAGTTTTAGACACCTGGTATAGCTCGTCTTCAGCCATCCGGTTCCCGTGCAGCCGAAGATGTAATGTTGTTGTGAATGCCTTATCTTCCTATGAACACACAGAAACAAGACTTGAAATTACCACATTAAAAAGCACATTTGGCACCGCTCTAAAAAAATATTTCAGGTCTTGTTACCACATATTCAGCAAAACAGTTTTGAAGGGAGGCATAAATCATAGCATTCCCCAGCTGGTCCATCCTCACACTAAAGCCACACTGAGACGCTAAACTTGGTGTAAGAAGGACGGTAGAGTTATCTGAGGAGGAAAAGAGGACAGTTAGGAGGAGAAAAAAAAAAAAAAAAGACAGAGTAAAGAGGAAAAACACTGAATCAAGAAATGTCACTTTACTAATAACAGCAGCTATGTCAAGAAGATTTCCTCCAAGTGGACCGACATCCACGCGCATGACATTCCCCAGGCATTTTGAGACGACATCTGGGATTAAACATTCACAATAGTAAGCAGCATACAGTACAATTAGAGTCACTAATCAAATGACTGTTTAGGGAAAATAACATCAAAACTTGACTAAAACATACTTAGGAAGCCCTCAGGCTTTCTCTGAGCCTCTAGGTTCACAACTCCTATCAGGAGAATGCACCACCTGAAAAAGATGAAAGGATTTTCAAATTAGCAAGAAAAATCCCAAAATTTGAGCAAACGCAGTGGCTAAAAACAAAACTACAAACCCCAATCCAACTAAACGACCCATGGCACAAGAGCTGGGAAATCCGTTTTGTGGCTTTTGAAGGTTGCGGTGGGAATAAACTGGCAGGTTGAGGGAGGTTCCTGCTCAAGAAAGATAACCACACGCAGGTGTGTCCTATCATAGCCTGATGGGGATAATTCTGTGGACCAGTGTCCACTGATGCTGCGTTTAAGTTACCTCGGAACTTGAAAATTTCCCACCTCCAACTAGAAAAAGCAGCCTCCAACTGAACACAGTTCCTACTGGGAGCCCAACACAAAATATAGGCCTATTTGTCTGTATTTTATTAAAATGATACATAATATAGTTAAACATGTTCTGTAGGCTATGTAAATTCTATTCAACGTATGTCACCAATGTTAACAGGTAGGCTAGCTGAAAGTCATCTTGTCTGCACAAAAGTAATTTGAATCAGATCAGAAGGAGCTTGACAGACTGTTGGTATAACATTTGGGAAAATGTTGAAAATTTGAAAACATTGGGAACCAGCACAAGGCTCAGCATGTAGCCTAGAGGTTTGTTGTCCTATCTGACCTAAATTTGAAGAAGTACATTTTATTAGAACTTTGTCATCCTTATCATCTACAGCTCCTCTATGTGAGCAAAAATAAATCGGACGTTAAAAATAAATAGATCTTTAGGAAATATTTAGATCATAAATGATTGGTACAAAGAATTAATACAAAATGAGGAATAAAACGTACGCCTATCCTTATTTTTGATATAACGTTTTGCCATTTTTATGTCTTTGTTGGATCGTGCCAGTGGAAGGATGAGAGGAAGTTCCCAGCTAGAATTAAATTAGGGGCGTCGTGGTTCATTGTCAGCCTCTTAACCCATAAGATACAGCGGCACCCATCGATCCAGTGTTATAGCCTAGTCAAAATCTCACTATATGTTCAGGTTTAGGTATCACAACTCTTTAAAAGCATTAAAAAGTCATAGTAGAAAATTCATCTTCTGAGGTGTAAACCGAAACAACAAACAGAAAAAGATCCCCTTTTTTAATTCATGTGGAGAATTTAAAAAAGTTAGGCTACACATGCGCTAATCAATGACAAGGACCCTCCTGCCCACAACCATCACTAGCCGCCTACACCTCCACCTTCACCGCTGAACTGAAGACCTGACATCTTTGTGCAGTGACCGTGTCCGGCTTAACATGTTAGAGTGCAAAACGTGCTGTTCTTGCTGTTAGAACCACACCATTGTCACAAGTTTTCCCTTATTTTTTTCCTGTCCCTTGTGTCACGTGCCCCCTTGTCTGTGTTGTGGGCGTGGCGCTTCTCTCCCGGGCTCCCTGTTGTTCAAGAGACACACCTCGTCCCAACCTGATCACACAGTTGCAACCCTCGTCCAGGCTGCACACCTGCAATCCACCTACTCTGCAGTAGGCTATATCAGCTTCATCCACTCATCTTCAGATCCTTGTGTCAGCCGTAGTGCTAGTTCACGCCTCAGGCCCCTCAAACTGTGCGGTCTGGTTATTTCGTTGTTTTGGTTCGTCTCTAACTCTGTCTCTCCATCCACTCCATTTCATTCCCCTGAGTTTTGTCTTGCACGTGGGTTCCGGTTCCCCCTGCTGACCGTTGCAATAATACAAAGAAAGCTGGAAAGAGACTAATTAACCTTATTACATCGACACATTAAGCTCTCAAAATGTTACAGCAGGATACCTCCGCAATAGGAGACCACAAGATCAGCTCAGGACTTGCTTCACTAGACACTGAAGCGGTGCACATTCAAAGCATTTGTAACAAATTTACAATTCAACAAATTACCAAAACCAAAATGACAAGCAGTGAATCTAATGGATCAGCATTTAAAATGCCCGGTTGGTGATTCAGTCGTGGCTGTGATACAGAACAGCGCACAAACCTCCATTAACAAATCATGTGCTGAAAAGATGCACAAAATGTGTTTACCCTAATGAGAAAGATATGCCACATTCATTTTATGTGTGGAGTGGAACAGAAAGTTCACAACACCCTGCAAGAACTATCTTTATGCTGTAAGCAGCACATCTGGGAGATACTGAGGATGTTTTTATTGAGGCAATAAAATCAGGGATAACAAATAATTTAATAGATTACAGATTGTCAGCGCAAAGCAACCAATTCAGCATTCAGAATTGTTGTTTTTCAATCTGCTCCCACTATAAAGGTTATGATGTGTTTCCCCTTTGCTGCCAAATGCAGTGTTACTGCCTGGTTTGGCAGTTAGCCTGCCAGCAGTGCTTTCTCACAAAGGACTGAAATGTCAGAGTGGGATTTGACTTACTTTACTCCCTCCCGCGTGCAGACAAGCTGTGGTCAGTTGCCTTTAGTTGCATTAATTTCACACAAATACAAGTGTACTTTTAAAAAACACAGCTTTTAACACGCACACAGTTATTGCAGGTGCACTCCTTAGTCCTACTAAAAGAAAGTTCTATGATCTTATAATAAATCGCAGCGATTAAATGTCACAACAGAGCTACAGCGTGTGATATAGGCATACCTTAATAAAATGTAATATTGCAGTAGAATTTCTCGCAGGGCGTTCATACATCTGTCCGGTCGCTACCCCCTCCGTCCCCTCCCCTCTCCTCGTCTCTCGCCCCTCCCTGTTCCCTGTAAAAGGGAACAAACTGCCGCCGTGCCGCTGTCCCGCCTCCAGCTGCTCTTGTCCCGTCCGTGAAGCTGCAGCGGCGCACTCCCTCCACCGACTTGCTGTGTGCGACGTTTTGCCAGAATGTGAAAACTACACCACCCGGAATGAAGCTTTTTTTTTTTCATGGAAAGAAAGACTCCAAGTAACCTTCAGGTAGGCTACGTGTCGGCTTTACGTTTTGCATTCAGTTTGTGCGAAATTAAAAGTAATTAGACTTATTTGCGAATAGGGTTTGGTGAATAAAATGATAGATCTTGATTTCATGCAAAAGCCAGCACCCAAACTAGCCTGTTGTTCTGAATTTCTAGAAGAGTAGTTGGTGGGACATGCCCCACAGAACAATATACAGACACATGCTGGAAAAATGCTGGTTTTAATAATTGCTTGAAATGATGTGTGGGTTCAGTTTCGAATTGTTGCCTCTCATTTCCTCTGAGGCAGTCTAGTCCACTCTGTAATTTGATTCTTCTGGTGATAATCCTGTACTTAAGCCCTCAAAGAAGTGACAGGACCTTGCGCCTCTTCACCCACTCCAGCTCATGCCATTTCCTGTGTGTGCTGTATTGGTTTTATTTCCTTCAGAGGACTAATACAAACAGTGCAGTCAAATATGTCTTGATAAACATCTTTCCAAATAAATGTGCCATACGCAATCCTGACTTTATATGCTTGTGGGGCATTTTCATGCCATAAAAAAAAATCTCTAAAACTGATAGGCCTCATTTCTCGTCGTATTGTCTCTGTGTATATCATCAGGACCATGGGGTATGGGCAAATCCTCCACCGGCTGGGGAATGAGGAGGACCAGGTCCATCTCAACGTGGGAGGCGTACGACACAAAGTGGACCCGGATACACTGCTTCGGTTCCCTCATACGCGCCTGGCTCGTCTGCTGCGCTGCCGAAGCGAAGCGGCAATCCTGGAGCTGTGTGATGACTACAGCCCGGCCGAGAAAGAGTACTACTTCGACAGGAATCCTCGGATTTTCCTCTGCGTGCTCAACTTCTACCACACGGGACGTATCCACATGATGGAGGAGCTCTGTGTCTTCTCCTTCAGCCAGGAGATCGAGTACTGGGGCATCCAGGAGCTGCACCTGAGCCCCTGCTGCAGCTACTGGTACCATGAGAGGAAGGAGTATATCGAGGACAGAGACTGGGACATCAGGAGCGACGACCAGCAGCAGCCAAGTTTGGACTCTTCCTTTGAGGAGCTCTCCGCTCTTGATAAAGACCTGGCGAAGTTCAAAGGTGCCTGGTGTGCAGAAGTGAGGAGCTATGTTTGGCTCAGGCTGGAGGATCCAGGTCATTCAAGAGCTTCAAAGGTCATTGCTGTGGCCTCCCTCAGCTTGGTGTTGACCTCCATCGTTGCTATGTGTGTCCATAGCATGCCTGAGTTCCAGCGTGTGGATGACAATGACAAACCCATCGAGGACCCTGTCCTTGCCATTCTGGAGGAGATCTGCATTGCCTGCTTCTCCGCCGAGTTCATCATCAGGCTCATTGTTGCGCCCTCCTGTAGGAAGTTCCTCGGAAACCCCTTAAACATTATCGATGTCGCCTCCATTTTGCCATTTTACGCCACTTTGGCTCTGGAAACAGCCGACGAGGAGGGCGCAGAGGAGAACGAGGACTTAGAAAATATGGGGAAGGTGGTGCAGGTTCTGCGCCTCATGAGGGTTCTCCGAATCCTCAAACTGGCTCGCCACTCTATTGGGCTACGAGCACTGGGGGCCACCGTCCGCCACAGCTACCACGAGGTGGGTCTGCTCCTTCTCTTCCTCTCAGTGGGGATCTCCATCTTTTCCGCCCTAATCTACTTTGCAGAGAAGGAAGAGGAGGACACAGATTTGGGGACCATCCCTTCAGGCTGGTGGTGGGCCACAATCACCATGACCACAGTCGGTTACGGTGACACCTGCCCGGTGACTCTGGCGGGGAAGATAGTTGCCACCTTGTGTATCATCTGTGGCCTGTTAGTGGTGGCTCTGCCCATCACCATCATCTTCAATAAGTTTTCCAAGTACTATCAAAGAAACAAAGCCATGGAGGAACAGTGTGTCACTAAGCCAGAAAGACAAGACCCAGAACTCCCTTACTATAACATCAGAGACCTGTTCACAGACAGTGTTTATCCATTTATAGGAGCTTTCGCCTTCAGGAACAGTGAGAGCAGCGCAGGGGATGACACCGACGCCTCCAGTCTCCAGGACATAGAGGTGTATGATAATGACACTTGTGAAAATGGGGCAGCAAAATGAGATTCCTGCCAATTGACAGTGTCTGTAAGTCACTCCGTGCCTCTCAGGGCAGAGTGCTCCATCACTGACCCTGTCTCCTTGTATCGTCTTCCTCCTGCAATTTGACAGAGAAATATCGTGGCCATGAACTTTTCTACAAGGGAATAGCTTGTGTAATATACAGCACCGCTAAAACTGGGGAATCTAAAGGGAATTATCTGAACTTTGCACAGGGGTTTGAAAGCCCATTTTCTGCTTGAGAAAACTGCAATGATGCATGTAGGAGGCCATAATGTTAATGTTTTTCAAAGTAATGTTCTGTATTGATTCGTCCGCTTGCTGAAAGTTCAGACTGAGAATTCGGCAGATGCAAAAGTCTAGAGTGAAAACCACACAGTTTGGTGATTAAAAATGGTATAATAAATCTCTAAGTTGAGTCTGCATGAACAAAAATGAATGCGTTCTGAAAGAAAGCCAATATAAATCATGTAGAATTATGCAATATTACAGATGCTGATGAGGAGAGGTCACAACTGTCTCAGAGCACTGTGGAAAGCACTGATATTACCAGGTTATTATTATATTTTTGTTTTGGACAGATGTTTTGGCATGCTGAGTGACTCCTTGTAACTAAGGTGGACATGAAATAAAACTCAGTGAATGAGAAGAAATATACCTCTCATTTGTGCCATAACATACAGTAAGTTGTACTTAGTCATTCATTCAGAGAAGGATTCCAGTTCAGGTTCATTGCATTTTATTATTCCCTTAAATATATATATATAAATATACTGCAACGCTTCCTGACTAAAATTACTTTAAAATCAAAATATAAACAATCAACCATGTATTTTCTTCTGTGGTGCAATCATTGAAACTGTTGAGGAAACGTTCTGTACCTACTCACCCTTGTCCTTTCCTGAAAGTATTGACTTCCTGTCACCTGTTATAATCTCTGGTTGGATGAGCTGCTATCCTACTAGAGCGAGAGACAGGGGTCTCAAAGGTATTGACCAGACGCAGTTGACCAGAAGCGTTTACTCCCAGAGCAAAACACTACCAAATGTTTCGTGAATCATTTCTTTTCTGATTGGGTTTAAAGATCAGATGGTTTCTTATCTATTGGCTAAATTTCAACTGCCTGAACAGCTAAATTACATTATTTTTGAATAGTAGTACTGTAAATGAGTTTCGATTACTGGGCTTCCTGTATCAGGTGAGCATCACATTGCACATTAGGATATCGCTTAATCCACACTCTCTGTTGTTTTGCTTTCATCAGCTGAGTATTGGTGCAGACAAGTGTTGATTTTCAGTGAATACTGCACTTGATAATACATACAGATGCAGAGCACAATTGAAATCATACAATAGATGGCTTTGCAGATGACAGGTATGCATCTTAATGGATGAAAATCTGAGAGGTTACCAGATAAGAAAATGTCTTCTTTCACTCATTTTCATTTATGTCTTACATTTTTTGTCTGACTTTTCTCTAATTTCTGCTTTCCAGGCCAAATTAATCCTTCAAGTTAAGTAATTTGAAAAGGAAAAGGAACCTGGTCCTCCTCATTCCCTCGCAAGTGGAGGATCTGCCCACACCCCATGGTCCTAATGATACATACAAAGATACATACAAGAAAACTGCTCTTAACTCGCAAACAAAAAGTAGTTGTGACACACTGCAATAACAAAACAAAAAGAGGTAATAAGGTTACATTTGAAGCATTGCTTAATTATTGCCAGCAAAGTGTAAAGAAAAGTGTAAAAATGAACTATGGGTGCCATGAAATAACAATGTATGCATAGATGATCATTACCGCTGCTATACTGGACACATTGACTGATGCTGTCACAATGCGTATACCTAAGCCCTATAATAGTAAAATACTAATTTTACGATCTGAAAAGCTGTGAAAACTGCTCTGGCATATTAGGTACAGCATGTGCAGTAATACAAGAAAGGTAGTATTGATGGAAAACAAAATCAATTGATACATTCTCAGCTGAAACTGAGTTTAAAAGACTCTTATGGCAAATCTCTAATGTTTACTCAGTGTATGATCTCAGTCTTTATGTTAAGGAATCCATCACAAGAGTCACAATCCTGTACTGTCTGCATCACTTAATGATTGTTTTGTGTTCCTCATCATTACTCCCAGCCTCATGGCTTTGGGCATATATCCTGTGAAGGGAAGTGGATGTCAATATTCTGTGACTTTGCCACCAGCAAAAAGGCAATCACTTATTGAATTTCTGTCAGGATGTGTATCTTATATTTCCCATAATTTCTCGCAGCAGCTGGTGCTTCTCATCTAGCTTCCAGAAATGTTGGTATTTTAATTGTAGTTGTAACGTTGATTCGAGTTTGCACTACAGAAAAATCTAATATAATAATTGTACCAAATCAGATTTCAAATGAAATGATAAGGCCTCCTTTATTTTCACCAAACCTTGGACAGGGTAGTATTTCAGTTTAAAGGCCCAGTCACACCAGAAAGTGACACAACAAAGCTCTCCAAGCTAGCTCACTTAAACTGGCACATCACTTTTAGACTCTACGGCTCTCCCTCACAAGTCAGCATTGTCAAGATGGCCTGCTATTGGTCAATGTCACATTGACCACTAAGTAATATCTGGCCACTGTGTTGGGTCATTGATACACTAGACAGGAGACCAATCAACCTTAATTATTAAGGTATCGCAAACGCATTTGGCAGGGTCAGGTTATTATTAGATCGAGAGTGAATTGAGGCAATTGACACTTTCCACCATTTCCCACACATGAATTTTCTCACGCAAAACGTATAACCAAAACATTGACTGAAATCAACTCAGCCATGTTAGTAGTCAAGTGGATCCACTCTCGCGCTGTGAATCTTGGACAGTTTGTGAGTTGCTTCCCACTGAAGCAGCTATCAGCTGCACTTTACAGAAGAGGCTGAAGTTAACATTTGAGAAGAGCAGAGTAGACTTTTAAAAAATTAATTATTACATTATTAAATTATGACATTATTCTTGTAATATTATGACTTTTTTCTCCAGATGTCAGAGAACACAGATATGTGGGACAGATTTTTAATGTGCAGAGGCTTTTGAACATGAGCAGAAAACTTGCTGAAGCCCAGGAGCTATTAAAGTCCAGGAGTTTATAACTAAAATGAATTAATTTATCATTGACATAAACAGATCCTACATGCACATTTAAAAAGGTTACTTCAGGGGCCATAGAGGCATCTCATACAAAAGGAAAAGGTCACTGCAGTGATGAATGTGCAAAAGGAAAAGTGGAATTTTGTGTTGTGTGCAGTTCCACTGGAGCCAATTCACTAGCCCTTCATAAATTCCAACTTAGCCTGATTAGTTAAATTGCCACACACTAATACTTCTGAAGGGCATTCGTTAAAGCTGAGGAAGGCAACGTTGGAGAAGTAGCAAAAATATCCAACTGTAAAAATCCCTCTCCCTCCATTCAGGCCTTCCTCCAACACACATTTTCATGAACATTCGCCATGCACAGGCAGAGCACGCTTAAGAAGACAGGTAGGTCCAAATTAGAGGATTGGTAATTTAAAGAGGTTACTTTCTTAAACAAAAGACACAGAAAGACGATGGAAGACTAAATCTGCATGTTTGTTGACTCAGCAGGGAAGATAATACATGAGAAAAGTTGATTTACAATAGGAATATATTTCTGAAAGCAATACAGAATGCCTGAGAGCCTTACTGCATTATTAAAAAATTTTGAATTGTCACCTGCCGCCTGAATTTTGTGTTTCCCTCTACATGAATAAGGACATTTACACCATAAATTGAAGCAGGAAAGGTAGATTTGGTGCAGAAATTTCACCAGAAAACAGCAACTGAAGTGTTTAATGCTCAAACATTTCTGGAGGAGGATCCCCAGATGCCCCATTTTATGTGTGCCCCCTCCAATGTTGAAGAAAAACCTGATCTCTTGCATTTCAACAGCAATATGACTCCATAAATTCATTAGAATGCAAGAAAACAGACAGAAAACAGAAACTTCAAAATTGTTTGACCGCTGAACATTTTAAACAAACATTCCTGAGGACTGAGGAGTGACTACCCCGACCTCTGCTGTGGGTAATAAAAAATTGTAATACAAGCACAATTTTAACTGCACTGACATCAATGGGATCTTCGGTTTCTATGCAAAAAGGGGCACGGCCAAGATGTTTCATGAAGTACACGTATGTGCTGGTCTGATGTATAGAACGTCTTGGCTAGAGGAAAATTTTACACATATAAAACCTCCATGGCTCATGGCTCAAAAATTCATAATAGAAAGACTCACAATCGGCCATCATTGCACTTTGAGGTGTCCTGCCTACAGAAAATTCTTTTATAATGGGGGTCTAAGGAGAAAACTTTACTTTTTGGGTCACAAAGTATTTTTTACTGCAATACTGCGAGTGGCCATTGGGGTGAAACTGGAAGCAAAGCTGTGCATCCATGCTCACTCCCCAATTTGTTTAGCCTAGCAAGGATAAAGCAGAGTTAGCAAGGGGTTGAACATGACATCGTCTGTTAGTTTTGGGGGTGGAGTATTATTAAATAGACAGAATCACTGGATTTTTTGCAATAAACACTATAAAATGGGACAAGGACCAATTGATAGTGTAATAAAGGTATACTGAATTACATAGTGACCATTTTACAGGGCATGAATGACATTAATGAGGGTGTTGTTAATGTAAAGGGGAAAAATGCCTATTACCTGTAAAGGTCGCAGTGAGTGTGTCAGCAAAACACTTCCCCTTTAGGCTTTCTTCTTTAATTACATTACATCTGAGTTTAGTTGCTTACCACAATACTTTGCTGTGCCAAATAAAGTCTTAATCTAAGCTGATTGGTTGCAGTGGAGCATTAAACCATAAAGATAAAAGGTGTCATTGAAAAACTGACTTACTGTCAGGAGCACTGGTCAGTTACATGAGTAGGAAGAAAAAACAAATCAATAAAATTAGGTTAAGCCGTTTTTTTCTTTCTTGGAGGTTTATATTTGTATTCGCTGGCCAGCACTTTGATGTTGATTTGAAGTGAGCTGTTTGAGCGCAGAATAGAGACAGTGATGTTTCGTAGCTTGCAATGTTGTCACGAGGGGATACCTCTGCTGAGTCTGGTGGACATTAATGTTAAACAAAAGTTGCTGCAGATAATGATGGAGAATGCCGAAACAGGCTTTCACACTGATCCATGTGTGCAGTTTTGGTGTACTTCAAGTTTCTGAAGGGAAAAAATAAATCTTTCTTTGAAAAATCTGACACCTGTTTTCAGGTAAGAGTAAGAACTTGAATATTACATAAAGCCTCAGGGTCCATAGAGGCACAGTCCCTCTACCGCACACAAAAGGAAAAGGTCACTGCAGTGATGAATGTGCAAAAAGCAAAGGGGAGTTTTATGTTGTGTGCAATTCTGCTGGAGCCAGTTCACTAGCCCTTCACAAATCCAGACTTAGTATGATCAGTTGAATTGCCACACACTAATATTTCTGTGGGGCATATGTTAAAGCTGAGATTTTAATTATTATGACTACACAATTTGCCGAGAAACAAATATTATATGAAGAAGGAGTTAAATTGCATAGAGTTGCATCCCCTCTGTAGATTTAAAGATATAATCTAGATTTGTATTTG